GTTAGCAAGGAGGTCGCCCAAGGGCGGCAGCCCCTCCGCGACATTGCGTAAGTGTAGGCCGGCTGCCTGGTGGGCAAGTGAGGCGGCATAGGCTGACATGGCCCAGTCCACCGGGCCACGGGTGCCGAGACCGGCGCCGCCCGCAAGCGTCCAGGGCCTTTCGGAGGAGTTACTCTGATTTGGGATGCAAGTTGCTGGAGGAGACCCCGTGTTACATCAGAGTAAGCAGTCCCCGCAGGGGGCTGTGAAGGGCAACCGCAGGCGGCGCAGGACGACCAGCGTGCGGGCGAGCGCAATCCGGGCTGATGGGGGCTTGGTCACCTGAGGCAGTCCCGCCTTCGTGGCCACACAGTTCCAGCTTTCGCAAGGCATCCGCGCGATGCCTGACTTGCAGTCTGCTTGGCTGCTGCCGTTGCATTGCGCCTCGCCCCGGCGCAGTCATGTTTTGCGTGCTGCCGCCCAAGGCCTTGCTAGCTTTTGCCGAAGCTCATGATGCTTGCCATCGTGGCATGTGTTACGGACCTGTTGCTCTCTACTGGGCTTCGTGGGCGGACACTCGCCAACTCCCAGGGCTGGCAACGTTCTCTTTTGCCCATTTGCGTGCCCTGTTCTTGCGGCGTTTGCGCCTCCTGTTGTTTTTGTCCGAGCGCACCTGCCGGTGTTGTCGCCCTTTTTCGACACTCTTGGCGACCACCGAGCAGCCTGCTCTAGGTCTGGTCAGTAGTGGGGCCCTGCCCGGCCCAGGCGTCGCAAGGGACACCTACATACGCCTACCCCGAACTTGTTGGCAACGCCCGTTGCCGCCTCTTCGTCCTCGGTGTTGCCAAGAGCCTGACTTGCTTTCCGTTGCCTGGCCTCAGCAACCTTGATGGTCCCGATTTCGACCTACTGGCAGCCAAACGTGTCCTGCTTGCCGGCGCGGTAGTTGGCCCCCGCAACAACAGCATTCCTTTTTTGCACGTGAGGAAGCCCAGTGCGGGGGCCTTTAAGCACCAACGAGAAGCTAGGCGGCCGGACTAGGCAGACAGGGAGGACAGGATTATTCACGCCCTTGTGCACGTCCACCCCGGCGGCCCTGGAGGCCTGCTCGAAACTTCTCAAGCAAAGGTCTTGTTGCGGGCGGGTGGAAGGCCGCCCGTCCTGGCAGGCACTGACTGCGAACGCGCGTCCTGGGGCGGGCGACTGCCTGCATGGATGGCAAAAACTAGTTCTTCCCGAAAAGCTGAATGGATTGTCTGCGCGGCCAGGCTGTGTGGCTGGCAACGGCCCGCGGTCATGTTCAAAGCTCTTTGCGTTGCAACTTCCGGAGTGAGTTGAAAACAGGTCTTTGCGAGCCCGTTGGCATGATTCATACCGACGTCGGCCACGTAGCCCGAGCAGGAATGCAGAAAGTGTATGTTGTGCCACCTTGCAGCCACCTTGCATACCAGCACCCGACGCCGTGACTCAACATCCCCAGGCGTAGGACTCGGAACTTGCACGGCCAATCGCCTCAGCACATTACGGAGGGTCGCTGGTTCATCACTGTCATCTAGGGACGTCTTTCAATTTTTGAATCTTGGAGATTTGCGTTTTGGACGGCGATTGGAGTTTCGCCAGTGAGCCCCCCGAGCTATGCTACTTCCCCCAGGCATGGGTTGAGGAAGGCTAGCGCGTGCGAAAAAAAACAGCGAAAAATCCAAAAAAAAAAAAAAGGAAAAAAAATAGAAGCAGCAGCGACCAGCGATGCTCCGCAATTGCACCGTGAATCGCGAGTGGTTCGCAAATTGCCCGCAATGGGGGGTGGTCCCCAAGCAAGGTAATTTTGTACAACCCGCACTTGCGCGCAAGGCAGGAAGCTTCTCAGCTGTGTGGTCTGCTTCGGCACGTCGCGGGCCGCCCCGACACGGCCCTGCCTGCTCGCGCCTGCCTGTTCCTGCCTGTTCGTGGATGCGACCGGTCAGCTCCAACATGCTCCGAGAGGCCGTGCCAGCTGCGTGGCGCAGCCACGCAATCTTGGGCGCACGCTGGGGGACCTGGCTCGTGCATCTTCAGGCTCACGCGGCCGCTGTCCTTCATCAAGCCTTGCGCGCGCGCAACGTTCAGTGCCGGCTGCACGCAACGCTTGCCGAGATGAGCGACGAAGCGCCTTGCAGCCGCGCGCTCCTGGTGGCGCGCTGCCATGCCTCCGATGGCTACTTGCAGGCCCGCTACCGCTCCAGCAACTTTACGGAGGCGCCAGCCCTGGCATGGAGATCGTCGGCGCAGCGTCAGCAGCCATTGCTGCTGGTGATTGCAGCGGCGGGCCCGCCAGTGCAACGGACGACGCCGAGACGGCGGGCTGGCCGCGCCAACCAAGGCGAGAGCCAGGCGAGACCGGCGCGCAGTCTACGCAAGTCCCCGCCAGCCCGATCAGCGGAGCGAGGAGGAACAATTGCAATCCGTCGCTGGCGCCGGGGTCGCGCTGCGCCTCCGCCAAGCCGGCAGCCATGGCGTTTTCAAGGCGCCTCGCGCACGGCTAGGGGGCGACTGCAGGGTGTATAATTTCCCGCGCAATTCCTCGGCCAGGTCGGCTGCATGCATGGGCGAGACCCGCGTCCGGCGACGACCTGGATAGGCGCGTGGCCCTGCTGGGGGCCAGCGCCGTTGCTTGTTGGAGTTTGCCACCGCGGCAGCGCCAAACGAGCCGCGTCCCGACTACACGCGTCGGCGAACAACGACGGCCAGCGCCGCGCGGAACAGCAGCGCTGCTTCCACCGCGTCGCCATGCGTCGCCCTTCACATGGTGGGTCTGCAGAAACCCGACGGCGGAGTGCGTGGCCTGGTCACGACGCGTTCAGGTGCGGACACTCGCGCAACAGCACGCAGGCGCCTTCGGGCCCGGGCAGGCGCCGAGTCCCTCACCCAGGCAGCGCGCGTGGCCTGTGAGCTGGCCGCGCGCACCACAGTGCTCCACGGCTTGCGGTGCGATCCTCGCCTGGCTGCCCTCCTGCCGTTCGTAGCTCAGTTCTACGCTAAGCTGAGCAACAGCAGAAGCAGCAGCAACGGCAACAGCAACAGCAACAGCAGCAGCACGAGCAGCAGCACCAGCAACAAAGCAACAACAGCAACAGCAGCGGCACCAGCAGCAACAGCAACAGTGAGCAGCAACAGCAGCAGCAACAAAAACCATCACAACCACAGCTTTCTAGGGTTTAGCTTTGAAACAAAAACACTTTCCTAGCAGCAAATCAATTGGCTGCAATGGTTGAAGAGCCAGGCCAAGCAAGCGAAGCATGCGAAGCCAAGAGCTTCTCATCTTCAGAAGGAATGTAGTCCGTCACGGACAGAAGGGCACGCCGGCTGTAATTAAAACGCATTTGAAATGCGTGGGATTGCTTGACAGCCGGCGAGCAAGGGCCGGCACTTTAGCCATGCGGCAGGCGGCTAGCAATGGGGAAAGCCAGAAGCTAGCCTCACAGCGCTGCTGGCAGACCGATCGCCAAAAATGGCGGCAAATGACTTCAAACCCGAGCGCCGGTACCGCAGTAAGCGATAGAGGGCACCAAGCACAAAGTCGCTGTGCCAGGCATGACCAGTGAACAATGTCCTCCAGAGCGCGGCGTGCCAGCTGATCCTGTGAGCAAAGCAATGAAATACTATCGCGCGGCGGCATTTGTTGCAGCGTGAACGCAGAAGTCAACGCACTGACGGGAATGGTCAGTCCCTGCCCATGCCTTTGCTTGCATCAACCTTTGTGCGAAGTAGTATCAACAAAAAGGTGTCTCAGGGTGCGATCTTGAACTGACATGGCGTACACAAACTGACCAGCATCTTCCAGCAAGTAATTGTTGCGACAAACAGCCAAATGCAGAACCTAATTCCGAGGGACAAGCAATTGCTTATGATATTCGCGGAGGATGCTCATATCAAGCAACGAGAAGGTCAGCACCACGACAATTTTTGTTTGCGCCCGTCGACAGACTCCGGCACACTCGTGACATACGCCAACATTGCAGCACTGACGCTTTCGACCTGTCAACCTAACAGAAGCCACCGAGGTAGCGGCATCTGTACTTTGCTTAGCGAGGCGAGCGCACGAGAGCAGGCAGTGCGACAGTGCGACGTCACCTCCTGAGAAGCGGAGCGGAGCAAGGCCAGTCGAGGGCTCTCTTTGTTTTTGAAGACGTGCCGTTTGCGCGTGGGCACATCATATAATGAATATGTGTGTCCACGCGCAAACAGCACGTGTTGAAGGAATTATATCCTGCAACTACCATTGTGAGTTACACACCTGAGGTAGGTGCTGCTCTCACACTCATAACCACGAGAAGGCCAAGACCGAGCTGCGAGTGTCCCGAATCCGAGGTGCTCTCCACCACAACCGCCAAAGGCGCACGACACAAAACAATATGCCCGGCCGAGTCAGCTCAACTGGGCAGTGCTCAGACTTTGTTCCTTGCCCTCCCTTGCCCTTGCTCAGGTATCAAAAGTGGGCGGGAAAGACCACTCGACGAAACATGACGCCGGCCAAGGTTTTCCGTTGCGCTGCTTGGTTGCTTCAGGCGGCCGCTGCTTCCAACGTCACAAAAAAGCCTGGTGTGGCACAGCAGTTCCATAATTAACAAAAGTGAGGTTCAAGCTCTGCAAACCCTGCGCTAGCAAGACCCAAGCTGAAAACGCGCAACCAGCTTTCGTCAATACGCCTGGCATTGGCATTGCCCGCAAAATACACGCGAAACGGGCTACACGCGTTCGTGAAAATGCGAAGGTGATTCGTGGACTGCCCGAATTCCCATTGTGAAGCAGTTGAACGGCGGCACATACCCAATGCGTTCGTAAAGTGCACTTCCTGCCAGGCAGTTCATGGCTTCAACTCTTAGGCCAACTCCCAAAAACCCTTGCTCGCGTCTTTTTGACAAATGCTCGCAGCGCAGTTGGTCGGCTCGGTCCCATTCGGGATGCTCGTCTGGGCTTGGCAGAACAGCTTCTTTAAGTGGAACCGGGATGCTGAGTAAGATTGCAACTCGTTCATTCAGAAAGGGTTCTCTCCAACCCCACCTTTGGATCAAACTGACATGGCCTTTAGGCTCGATGCGGAGGGCGAAAACTTGCTAATAGAGGAACGCCAGCATTGTCTCAAATAACAAATACCCTGCAACTCACAACGACTCTCCTCGATGATGTGGTTGGCACCTTTCCTCCTATCCACTGCCCACGCCACATGGACACGCGCGGCGACTGAGTGACTGGGCGCTCTCCCCTCACACCTGCATGACGAATTCCACGGGAAGACCCCTCTGCGGGCCCACGGTTGCTCGGTTCTTCCGTTGGAGTTGTTGGAACTCCTTGGCGATCCACCTCGGCACAGGTTCCAGGCACAACGGTTCTTGGGGAAGATGCAGTCTGTAGACCCTCACCAGAATAAACAAAGGACCAAAGCAAAATGCAGAAGTTGTGACCATGCCTGGGTCCAGCACTATTGGTTGGTTGATCGCTCTCAAACCTTAGGAATCCTGTTTCGCTGGATCCCTTGAGATCACTTGAGGAGTTGCCTCTGCAAAGAACCGCAGAAGCTCAGGCCCAACAACCAAATCTCGAGCCGGCGGGTCTAGAGGTATGTTTCACCATCAAATCCGAAGGCTCTTCCAATGAACATCTCGCATTTTTAAGTCAACACGTCGCACGTGTTTGAGCATCTTATACATCAAGGCTTATCTTGAGAACATGTGATTCAAGCATGCGTGTCGACGCCAACCACATGCTTCTTCTGCGATGGGTCATGACATCTCTTTGAAACAGTGCTTCCTTGAGAGCCTGCCAAGCCACCCGGGGAGAAAAACAAGAACCACCTGCGTCACCGGGTGTCCCCTTCCAAAACCGCAACGTAAACAGTCCAAAAAGACTGCCACCGGTCCAAGGACCGGCCGAAGCCCCGAACCTTTCAGGTGTCCCAAGCTCTAAGGCTGAGCCCTGAGCCCCCCCCAACCCCTCAGCTTCGCATTCCTTCGCTCAGCTCCGTGCTTCCTGAGGTCCACGAGGTCCTTGACCGTGGCGGTGTTGGAGCCTCGGAGCTTCAGAAGGCGGCTCATAAACTCCGCGAAGGGGATCTTTGACGCCACGTCCTCCAAGGGCGAGCCATCCTGCGCGCAGGCGCGCCCCAGGGCCAGGCGAAGTGAGGCGCTCGTTGGGCCGGACGAAAAAACATCACGCTTGAGCAGTGGCTCTTATGAGGCTTCCGCTATCAAGCCACCAACGCAGGGAGGGGAAGGGGGCCTGACAAGGAAGCTATTACACCTGGAGGGGACATCCATTGATATGCTCTTAAAAAAACCAAAAAAAAAGCTTGATGAGACAAACAAACGCTTGTCTGAAAGGTATGTTAGCACAACATGTTGCCCCGCCGCGCTTTGAGCGAGCGAGGTGGAAACAACAGTCAATGGATCAAGCGGCAATATCAACACATACTCACACGCAATTTCAAGTACGCACGGCTTGCCTCATGCAAGTCAACTTGGCATGGACATTGGAAGATATCTAACTGGTCTATTCTGACACCCCAAAGTCGGTGCAAGTGGGAACAAATGGGAACAAACATAAGTGTTTGTGCATTCACAGGGCTCCTTAGTTGACAATTTTCAAACAGCATATATCTGTGTCGTCTGCTGATCCTGTGAAGCGCCTTCTGAAAGTCCTTAAGTCCAAGCAGGTGAAGTGCAGAGTGCGATTTGCGTCAAAGGCGCGACTCACACACACACACACATAAAGACACACACACACATAAAGTTTGCATTTGGGTGCAACCTGGTATGGCCCTGGCTGTTCCAAATTGGCATGATGCGTTGCATGCACAAGCTGACGGTGCCTTGTAAATCATTCTAGATCATGCCTACGGTGTCTGGCAATGTCCGACCAAGCGGCGAACAATTCGACTCTCTTCCGGGCCTCATCCTCGCCCTCGACCTCGAAGAGTACATCGGCAAAATTGATGAGCACTCCTACATCCACGTCGGCTTCTTTGAGCACCTGGAAAGCGCAAAACTGTGACAAGCACCTGGATCTGCTCCGCATGTTTTCCAAACATGTGACACCGCACGATCCTCAGAGCGCTCCATGCTGGCCTTTTGTGGGTGCCTGGGGCCTTTCGGGGCACTCAGCCCCGACTCGGAAACTCGGGATCCCTCCGATCGCCTTGCGGACCTGGGCATTCTCAATCATGTGCTGGAACTCATCGAGGTCGATGCCTGAATCCCCGCAAGAACTGGGCACTTCCGCGCGGAAGGCTCAGCCAGGTCACAAATGCGTTGGAGAAATGGGGCCAGTGGGCAAATGAGATGACTTGGAAAATGTGGAAACTGAAAGACCTTGCAAACGCTGGGTTTCTTTACGCGGATGTGGGTCCGACGGGCACCTCAAGTATTGCAGGTTTCTCTTTCGTGTTCTGAAATTGGACTTTTGGACTTTTGGACTCACTGATTCGCAAATACTTAGTCGCTCGCCCACATATCGCTGGATCGAACAGAATCAGCCAATATTTTGATGATACCACACCTATGCCAGACCGCAAAACCCGTAGCAGCACCGCATCAGCAGCAAAGATCCCATCAAGAGCGCCAACAGCCCCAAACAGCCGAACTGTCCACTACGCCCTGGTTCCACACGCGAGGATCAGGCAGAAGGAAAAGTGAGTTGTTTCAGTTGCTCAAGAGGAAACATCGCCGCCCCATGACCAGCTCTGCCAATAGGCACACGAAGCCGGCACTAAGCGATGTCAAGCCAAGACTTAAGCTCCCATCAAGGATGCCCAGGAACAGAAACAACCTAATTCGCTATAGCCTGGTCGGCAAGTTCGCAAGAGGGAAAGCCGACATTTGATTCAAACATACGTCACGATGATCCATTGCGAAAAAAGCTTAGGCTCAGGGAAGTGCACGCCAATAGTCAATATCATCAACAACTGAACCCATGCTAATAAAAAAACCGACATTAAACTGACATGCAATCGGTCTGCGCGGCAATACTCATTGTTGACTCCCGCTTTCTTCAGCAGTTGTTCAATTGACGGACCCATGTGTGTGTTGTTTGTTATTCATATTGCTATTTTCTTGTTATGAGTTTGTGTGTGGGTGTGCGTTTCGCAGGACATGACAAGTACACATTGGAATTGTTGTTCCAAAACATGTTTGCTTCCATGGAATGTGCATTTAGGCATTTAGGTTTTTTGGTGAGCATTTTATACGCGGCACACTCCAGTCCAGCAGGGAAGCAAGCGGGCAGCATCAACAGCAAGCTTCGGTTGTGCTACTGATTTTCGTGTGTATGCGACTTCTGAAGGTTGCCCTCCTTCAAAAGCACTGGACTGATACAGGATCAATTCTACAAGTAGCCTTCTTGGGGAGACAGGAAACCACGTGTTGGAGATTTTGCTGCGAAACTTGTCCATACTTTGTACCCGATTGTGAAGCAGTGCTGAACACTGTGCAGAATGCATAGAACGAACACCGCAACAATAAATGCCATATTGTACGTCCGAGTTGTGATGCCCCTCATCTTGCCCCCCCCACTCATCCCAAGACCGAGGGGTCACTGGATTGCCCTGTGTAAATGACTGCGAATTTGGCCAATGGCCGGTGGGTTCCAATGAAACTGCGACTTGAAGTTCAGGTACTTGAAGCTGTCGATAAGGGGAGCCAGGAGTTCAGTGACCCCCCGGAGCCGTTTTCGGAATTGATTCCATCTCCACAGAGGCCCACGCCCGCCAAACAGGGATTTAGGGGTCCCACGAAACAAACCGCTGGCTTCATTTCGGTCTCCGTGCAACCCATCAAGAGGGACCCCCCCAAAAAAAAACACAACAGCCCCCACCTGGGGGACCCTTTTCGGAGCCTTGGAGCTAGTTCAATGCCCAGGTGCACCCGTCATTGTTCGTGTCGGCACCCGCTTGCAAGCACTGCTGAAGGACTTCCTGGGCTCCAATGGGAAGCGACCGGTCTGTCTCATTCGACGGCAAACCCCTCAGAATCAATGGTTCCCCTATGTTTCCCTTTGTTCCCATTGAAATGATCATGTAGCCATAGCCTCAAAAAAAGGCATGACATGAGGTCCCAATGTTGGATGAGCAAGATGACAGGGCTCCAATTTGAGGCCCCGGTGTCTCCTTGCATGTTCGCGTTTTTTAAGGGAGACACAGAAGCGTCCAACAAAAGCGCTTCCCCTTAAACAACCCACCTGAAATGGGCTTCGGTGTCGCTTTGGTTTCCCTTCAAACTAATTACCCCAACAAGTGTAGAAGAAGGATAGATGTAGGGCTATGCAGCTGATGACCCTTAATAACGCCAGAGCGTCATGCTTACATGTTGTGAGCCACTTCTTCAAAGCATTATCAATTACCAAAGGCGCTGCAAAAGATCCCTAAAAGAATGCTAATCCTGAGCAGGCCTGGATCTCTGATCCTGACAGGGCAACAGTTTCGAATTGATTGGACGGCAAGACACAGTAACTGGGACATCTGTTGTTTCAGGAACGTCTCAACAAACGTCATTGCATTTCTCTTTAGGGTACTGCCAGAGTTTCCCTGCGCGGGCCTGAGTAAAACATTGCTTGACGTTTGCACGCTCGTTAACGGCGGAACTCCTGATCTTCATTCCGCCCTTCGAACAGAAATCGAAGCCTGAGCTGCATCATGTGCACTCTAACCTTGATTCCACGCTCCTTTGGAGGGTGAAGAATCTGTCTTTTGCAGTTAACAACGAGCGTCAAGGGGGAAAACAAGCATCAAACATATCATGATTGAGCAGTCCTTGTGCCTCTCGAATGATTGCAGGGGAGCCTGATGGCATGGAGTTTTCCCGAGCCCAAACCAGTACTATTGAATGAGCTCATTGACGAGAGGCCGTGCCACCATCTGTGCCACTGCTCCGCACACAAATACAAGGTGACTTTGGGACACCGTTTTTGGATCCAGTTGGCACGTCTCCGGAGAGACCGGACCATAAATATTCCAACAAGGTCCCCTTTTTGGGATCACCCTGACAGACCGGCACATGGCAGCAGGGCGATTGCTGCAAGTCTCGGTGGTCCAGCTCACCTGCAGCGCTTCCTTCTCTGCGTCGGCCACGGCGGTAATGACTTCGCACAACACGCCAATGAGCATGTTCCTCGTATCGCTGTGGCTGCTCGAGTCGGTTCACATCGGTTCATGGATTTGACAATTTGTGCAATTCCCAGTTCTCAAGAGTCCCGTCTTCACTGCGCTCAAGCCGCCAAACATGTTCTGATCAACATTGCTCCCTGCATGATGAGCCGGTCTCCATGGATTTGTCTTATTTCTCCCGAGCCCAATCTTGGGGGACAGCTCCTTCAGGGAACCCTTCAGACGAAGGCAATGATCTCTCCGCTTCTAGGTGTTTCTCCGTGTGCTTTGGAGTTCAGAGCCTGTGCCAAGCGTGTTGACAATGGACAGTGCCACAAGCTGTTTCCATACTCCAGCCACAGGTTCGTCAAGCTACCAAGGGCACCAGCCTCCCTCCATGCCATCGTTCCATTTTGTTGGCCGAGCTGCATGATCGTCACGGCTGACATAATCACGAAGATGTACAACATGGCAAAGCCTATGGCGCTCTCCTGGAGCAAGGCCGTGAAGACTTCCGAGATGGAGTCCAGAAAAGTGCCGTGCATGAACCTGAGCGTCGGTCTGAGAGCTCGAGATCGCGTATCTGAGAGGCCGGGGCGACTTGCCTTAAAAATCCTTAAAACTCTGACGACCTTATTGCCTAATCCACCACCAAACAAAGTACACCGCGTGTCACAAATGCAAATCCAATGGCAATGCCGTCTGCATTAGTGGGTCAACATGACAGGCTGAAGCATGAAGGCTTCATGAGGGCAACCAACCGCCTTTCGTGCCCGAATTGCCAAACTGACCATGGGCTCTACACAGTGAGCGTTGATTTGATTGAAAATCACAGCTGTATGCTCGTCTGTAAATGTTTGGGTTTCTGGGTTTGGGCGCGCCGATTGCTTCAGGTCGGTTTAAAGGGACACCAAAAGAAGGCCATCCAGTTTTGGGGTCCTCCAACTTGGCTCTCAGAGCATCAATAGAGCCTTGGGAACGAACCTAGGGATCCCCTGAAAGGAGACCACAAGGCATAGTTCATTAAGAGTCTTTCCGCCATTCCTTGCGAAGAACCAGCAAGCCTATGTTGACACACACAAGCGGGCGTCGTAAGTCGCGCTAAGTCACCCCAGCCATCCCAGCCGCTTGGAACTACGCATGTCCGTTTAAGTTACCCCATGCGTTTTAAGTCACCCCATTCTTTGCAAAACACAATGGGCACAAAGCTGGAAGGGCGATGGTGCCAACCCCAAGAATTCACCGCACACTGCACGCACATGCTCAAAACTTACTGGTTTGGGTTCATGTTGAATGCTTTTTTCCGGGCAAAACCCTATTGGGCACACTGCAATTAAAGGGTTCGTATCCTTCAAACAAAAATAGTGTTTTCTGTTGGTTCCCCCAAAACACCCGACAAAAGGGCTGCCGGCGCGAGTGCCGCGCGACTCTGCGCGAGTGCCGGGCGAGCGCCGGGTGAGCCGTGCACACGGCACGTGGAAGCCGACCAAATGTTGATGTTATGAATCTGGGATCTCATGGGCACCTTTCTGTCAGGATACCTCGAGTAGAACATCATACATTTTGCATGCGCACAGCACAGAATTATGCGATTTCAGAAAATGACATGCTTGAGACAACTATCCTTACATCCACAAACACAACGGCACACTCAGCCGGGACGACTTAGATCAACCCGGGACGACTTACAGCGCTTGCCCTGTACCTTCCGAAGAAACAAACATGGAGCTGAAAGCAACCTGGAAAACAATTTCCCTCTACTAGGGTCCCTCTTTCAGGCTGAATGATTTTTTTGGGGAGGGTACATTTGCTTGGGCTCGGGCAGGCTGTGCATCGACAACGCGACGTTGGGGAAGTATGTGGCCCCCACGTTGGTGCCGTCCAGCATCGCGCGGAAAGCGATGGCAAAGACCTACGGTTGGCCATAGGGAGGAAATTGGCTCAAGAAACCAGGCTGAGCCAGAATCAAAACCAGGGTGAGTGAATGTTTGTATGGGGCAAAATCGATGTGGCGCCCTTTTGACTCCTTGCTTAGTCTTGGGTAGAAGGCTATGTCATTTTTATTTGCAACTTAAAATAAACAGGATCTGATGTTCCCCCGCCCCACCTCCATGTCCCGCCTCCTTCTCCGGATACCCCCCACCGTACAGCCAAAGTAACACGGGTGTGTCTCTCTGGGGGTGACCTCCTTGGAAACCAACAAAAAAGAAACAATGCATTTTGGGGCGGCCCTTTTGACACAAACCCGCATGAACCGCTACCCTAACCCCTCCAGCAAAACAGCTGATGGAAAGGACTGCGCTCCTTGAGGCCCCAAGCCCCTGAACTCGCCCAACCCGCATCAACCCCCTGCGGGCGGCATAGAGGCAAATGCCCAGCAAGATGAGGGTGAAGCCCACTGACCGCGCAGCAGAGGCCACAGCCTGACAAATTGACACACCCAAACGAGTGAAGCTGAACCAACCATTCCGCGCAAGAACCCAGCTGCCGACATAATTCCATGAAGGAACAAGCAAGCTCGGTGTTGCTGGGCAGTAGATAGGTCTGATCCTCTCGGTTTCCTTCTGGGAAATCTAGGCACCGAGCTTTGGACATGGCGTATTTGTATCTTTTCAGGAGCCACCTGAAATTCCCTCATCACATAGAGTAGCTTTGAAACCCTCTTTCCTGCATTGCATGGGGTGGACGATAATGCTGATCCGGACACTGGGCAAAGGACCCCCCAAGCTCCGGATCTGAGGGTTGGGTAAACCCGAGGCCTTGACCATGATGAGCAGCTCCGGCACCATGCGGATCAGGCGCGCCATTCGCAGCAGCCGTGTCAAGCGCATAAGCCTCGCCACCCGAAGGATGGAGGCGTCACCCAGGAAGTTGGAGCCACCCGCGGAGGCCATGAAAATAATGATAATGTTCATCACCTCGGAGAAAAAAACGCTGAATGCAAGCATTAAGAAGCCGAAATCAGTATGCTCCCCTCTGCAATCCAATGAACAAAACGTCAAAGAAGCAGAAGAATGTGGTTGTCTCCTTTTGGATCCAAGAGAAGCTTCATGTTTTGAACCACCTCAGCTGAGAGGTGAAAATGGTGTCAAGGAGAGCAGGAAAGGCGCATGGCTTATCTGCAAATTTTATATGAGGCACGTTCAAACAAGGGATCTGCAACAATTCGTGAGTGTCGCGGTTGGTTGCCGCCAAATATGTTGATCGAACTCCATATTGGAACCCTCAGAGACCAAGCAGAATCGTTTAGAGCCATTCATGAATTGCTCACGAATGCATACCAGTGTAGAGTGGGAAATGCCATGTGTCTATGGTCCTTCAATGCTCCTTGAGAACATGCACCCATCCTCTAGCTTGAACAAGACAGCTGCTGACCGCTCACCGGCTGTGCCGTGCCCGAACTTCGGGCTTTGCTCTTGCGCCTGACACCCCTCTGGACTATTTCCGTTGTGCGTGTTTAGCCAATTTGTCAGGCAACTAACTCTCTCTCTCTCTCTCTCTCTCTAGCCATCTGCTAGAGAATGTGAAATGCTTGCAGTGTTGGTAGCGCTGTGGGCGGAATTGCGTGGCCGGATATGCAAGTCTGTCTGCCTAACGCATTCTAGCCATAATGGGGCTGCACAAAATGAGAGACCCCCGAAAAAAAGCCTCACGATCAGGCCAGCTTGCCATGAGTGCCAGGAAACATATGTGAGCAGGGCCTAAAACGCATGTTGGAAAGCTTTGCACAGGCTTTGCCAATTAGTACCCTCAAACGGCCCTTTTGGGAGTGTTTTTCGCTGCTCTTCATCTCCTGCGCGAAGCCCAAGGGGCACCGCCCATGTCCAAGCCGCCCAGGTCTCGGCCACCATCATAACCACCAGGGCGAGGTCAAAAACAAACCACGCGTCGCGCAAACAGTCGCATTTCCGGGAGAAGGCGGCAAATCGGATCACCAACTCCAAGAAGAAGTAGAAGCAGAAGACCTGCTATATCACGATCAAAATCTGGAGGGCTTGACCCAAAAACATGCCACGAATCAATGGGCGACTGCACGAATTTGTGACCGGGACTGTCCGCACTCAATGTCAACCACCCAGGTTTTGATTGTGGCTCAATTTGATGTTCTTGCCCTCGATGAGCTTCCTGTCGTTGCGTGGTCTTCAAATCAATAGGTTGCCTTTTGCGAGCGCTTGTAATGAACTCGAGCAATTAAAGAGTTTGGCCTTGCCGTCCCACCCTTCCACTGAAAGTCTCAACATATCATTCTCGAAGCAGAAGCGGCTTCCCCGACTTCAACAACATGTCCATGGCTGACCATAGTGAATCGCGCCGTCCACACACACACACACATACGCACAAAGATAGACACACACACACACAAAGCGCCTGCATTTGCACGCCATTGCCCTGTTGCGTTTGCAGCGCCGCGCATGACTCATAGTCCAGGCATACCCTCCTGAGGAACTGGCTATATTTCAACCTAGCCTTGAAGCGCAACCTGGCCTTGAAGCGCGTTTGCATGGGCAGCAGCAGGAAGCATGATGTTGGAAGGTTCCTGCACATTCCTGGGGTGTGTTCGTGTTTGCACTTCACATTCAAGGTTTGCATGTTTGTTTCTCTGTTTCTCTGTCTGTCTGTCTGTCTGTCTGTCTGTCTATCTGTCGTCTGTCTCTGTCTGTCTTTATGTCTGCCTGTTTGTCTGGTTGTGCATATGTGTCTTTCTTATTATATATTGATGTCTATGTAGTGTTTCACTTGTGCATCTACTTTATGTATGTCTTCTCTTATTTCAATATATCTATATTTCGCTAGTGGTTTGAAAGTTTCGCTGCTTGTTTCTTTCAATAACATTGCATCTATGTAATATTCTCCTCATTTTCTCTCTTGATTTATGTCTGTCTTTCTTTATTGTCATTATGTGCATAATAATACGTATTATCGTTCTTGTTCTTTCCGTATGTGTTTCTTTGTTTCTGTATGTTTATGATGTGTTGTTTCCTTGTTTCTTTGTGTTGTTGTGTGGTGTTTCTGTGTTCCTTGCTTGCTTGCCAGTTTGCCCGTGTGCTTGCTTGCTTGCCTGTTTGTTTGATTGGTTGGTTGCGCGTGGTTTTGGGTGTGTCGTTGTTTTTTTCTGCTTGCTTGCTTGTATGTACGTGTGTTTTGTCCGTAGCTGTCTGTTAGTCTGTGTCTGTCTCTGTCTCTCTATCTCTGCCGCTGCCTCTGTCTTTGTGTGGTTGCTAGTTCATGGTTTGATATAGTTGTCCCATATCGATACTTACCTGTTAAATATGTTGCAGTCCTAGTAGGTAGGTCTATTTCTAAGCATTAGTATGTTATTACTACTGTTGATTATCTTACTAGTTATGTTCCTGATCTCTTGTTTTTACTTGCATCTGAGCATGTTTGCTTCTTACTTCTCTCTTGTCTCGTTCAACCACTTCTATTCCATGTTTTCTTGCTAATAAACCTATGTTGTTTTCAGGTTTGCTTTCTTTTTTCGTTTGATAATTGGTTGACACATGCTTGGTTCAGGTGGAATTCTACAGATCGCATTATATAACCTGCACAGCGGCGGCATATGCAAGCAATAGATCGCGTTGTTTCCCCGGATAGAGCAAAACAGCCACATTGACATGCGTTCCACACTATGGCCTGCTCACATACAATGAAGAAGGGATGTGTCTCCGTGATGATATCTGCGGTATTCCAGTCCGTGTCAACTGACATGTAAATGGCGTAGACAACAATCACCACCATGGTAAAGTTCTCGAAATAGGCGCTCCGCGCTATCCTTTGAAAGCAGCCTTGGTCCGAGGTAAGCCCTGGGATACTGCCTACGAAGAAACACGCAGACGCACCGAGTGCTTGAAGCACGGCTCTCGTGTCGAGCCAAACCCGGGTTTAAACCAAGCTTGATGCTTGGAAACTTGTGCTGCTTTGCTCAACAGGCTGACAGCCAGCCCTTCGACACCAAAGATCGTAGACAGACCCAGTTCTTCATGATCACCCAATTGCTCTTTTTGCCTTCACGCAATGACTAGCAAACAAATCGGGCATCTTCTAAACGCTGAGAGCACTGAGAGCACTGACCATCTTTATCAATCCCACGCAACCAAGCCCGAAAAAACAAGATTTCAAATGGCCAGCCGCTGGATCAATCCCAAACCGTGCTTGATTCCTTGCACAGTGCTCCAGGGGTATTACATGATGCTCGATATCGCGGGAGCCCCTGACCTTTTCCAGCTGGTGCTGTTGGCTCCACGGTTTTCTCAATGGTGGAAGAACCGGCATTGGTTGCCCGGACGGCATAAAACATAGGCAGAGGGTCAGCAGGGACTCAGGGTATTTGTCAAAATAGGGGGACGTCCACAAATGGTTTCTTTCTTTGGTCTCCTATGGAAACAAACCCCAAAACAAAAACACGCTCGCACACAGTCTCACACACAAACTCAAACACACACACACACACACTCAAACAAACAAACACGCAAGCAAGCAAAGAAACAAAGTTCTTTGTGTGATGATCCTATGGGCCGAGGTGCCAGCTGTCTTGTACTTGTTTTTGACATCGTAGCGCAGCTCAGCGCAAATGTCGCTGGCGATGGCAGCCTTGATCTCTTTCCCATGGCTGAAGATTGGGTGCCTGCAATCAGGCGCAGGAAACTGCGTGCTCCCACAGCATCCAAGCCCGCACATTGGATAACACTACCAACAGAAGGACTGATTTGAGCCTCCGGGACTGTGAGCCGGTGTCAGGACTGATTGAATACCCAAAAAGGGTACCTTCCAAAGCTGAACTCTGAGCGAGTTCAGCTGTGTCCTGGCCAAGCAAGGGATTTGGCACCGAGAGTAGACAGTATCTATCGTAGGTGCACAGGAGGAGGGTATGCCCTGAAATTCCTCTTGAGTCTGCGTAGGCCATTGTTCACTGTGGCTCCACCAATCAACGCAAACCCTAAATCAAACCTTTATCCCGACACCTCCTTGCCGAGCCAGATCGTTTCGTTTCCAGTCCTTTATCCCGACACCTCCTTGCCGAGCCAGATCGTTTCGTTTCCAGTGGAAAACCTTAACCCCAATCCCGGGTTTGTGGTGAATCCCGGCCACTTGAGAACGCGCATGGCATGGCATGAAGGAGTGGCCATTCTCAGATCAACGAATCAAAAGCGGAATCCTGGAAGTTTCCTTTGGCCGCCGCCGCACGTGGAGTTGCAAAGCGGCCGCCTTGACGCTTGAGCCCAGTCGAGCCTCGACTGACTAGGTGGTTCCAGAAGCATGCTCCAATCCACCTTGCTGCCCGCGCGCGGCAGCATCTTGCTGCCCAGCTTTGCCTGCAAAAGAAGACTCGGAGTTGTGGTTTCAAACGTTGCTCGAACCGGGAAGGAGGATTATGTTATATTATGTTTGGCAACCGTGCGCCATTTCCCAAACAGCCAAACTTGAGCCCTTTGCCTGGCAACACGCTGCGTAAACCCATGCAATAGCACACACACACACACACACACACACACACACACACACACACACACACACACACACACACACACACACACACACACACACACACACACACACACACACACACACACACACACACACACACACACACTCAACATGACTGCAACCAAGTTATTCCCACCCTGTGTAGCATCCTTACATCCCTTAGAATAATGACTTCCCCCTTTCGTGGAGAGATTCAAGAGCGTGTACACCTTGCCGCGGGTCTGCGCTAAGGTTACTTTGGCCAGACTTTTACTGGTCTCATGAAAAATGGGGTGTTCCTTCTCACTTGGATTTGCTGCGGACACCTACAAGCGCTTTAGGCTCATCAGGCGAACGCCTATCACGAATCTTGCTGCGTGCTCCCACTTCTGCGGGCGAGAGCTTTTGTGCTGCGATTCCTCCGGCCATCACGCAGAAGCGCGTAGGAACAGCCGGCAAACCGCCTGCTCGCCGCTCTGCGCGAGCAAAATCATGGACAACACTCTACTGCATGGAGAGGTGTCAGTGCTTTTGGCCGCGCAGCGAGTATTGTGCCAATCAAGGGCAACGATGATAAGCTGGTCGATGGAAAGGATCGGGGCCTCTTGAGCCCCTTGAGTCACGCGCCTTAGGCTGCGGCCCTCGCGGCTGGCATCACACACGCCGGCGGTGCCTTGATGATCTGCCGTCCTGAAACGCCGTTCTTGCGTCGTAGGGCACTTCGGGGCGTCGGCCAGCCTTGAGAACGAACGACCTCAACTGAACCCACGTGGCCGACACGCCAGGAACATCCAAATAAAATTCATGCCAGGCTGGTTCACGGACCAAAATAAATGGTCTGTGCCACTCGGCCGTGTTATTGGTCCGCGCTACCCGTTTTCCCCACCAAGTCGGAGCCCAGCCGGCGCCAAAGTGGGAGCAGGAGGGGCACATGATCAATCCCGAATGAACGAAGAAGAGCAACTACAGCGGATAGCCACTCAAACAAGGGAGAAATGCAGCAAACCAGGCAACCGGGACCAAAGAATTATTCTGGTCCCACCCGGCTAAAGCGCGAACCCATGACCTGCACAAGGCGCTCTTTTGCTTGAGCCAAACACAAACAAGCAACATGTCGGCAAAAGCCTCATGCAATGGCACACACTCAAGATGACTGTAAAAAAGTTATTACCACCATGCGTAGCTACTTTCAATTCCGTAGAATATTGACTTTAGCTAGGATGAGTTCACCTCTTCTGGCCACTGGATGAGATGATCTCACACTCGACCAGCTGGCACAGTGCAACATTGCAATTTCCTGTCTGAGCTGTATGAAACATCAGAACTGTACCTGTCGTTTGAATCCCACAAAGCAGCTTTTTAAAAGAAAGCCCTGGACAGCTTCTGCATGCTGCTTGCAAACACAAACGGGAGAGTGCAAACAGTCTGCGTGGATGGACCTTGGTTCTTCCAGTGTAGTCTGCCCTTCACGTGGGTCTTGACACGATTTGATGGCAGGGTGACATAAGCTCACGAATGAGTACAAGGCGGCAGAATCCAAGCAAGCAACAGTTACAGCGCCAGCTCGACAACTCGCCAACACAAACAGCATTGTCCCAGCCTCTGGTGCGTTCTCGTCATCTGTGACAATCGGAATTGCCTACAACCCAAAGGACGGGACGCAAGACTCTCAAATGTTTCTTTGACTGGCATGGGATGCATGCAGACCTTCTCGTTTCAGTCTTTGAAAGGCTCACACGCGTTCCAGTCTAACTATCCTGCCTGCCTGCTGTTCAATTTGAGCCATTTGGTAAAGCTCCTGGCCTTCTGTTGCTCCCTGAACAACATCGCCACCCTTTTGCCATGAGTGACTCCGGTGGTGCTTGTGTTTCCTTTTGAGTGGTTGCATGAGGTTGGGGTCTGGTGGAACTGGATGATCTAAAACTTTGATAAAAGCAGGCTCTTGGAGCAGCCCATTGGTCTCTTCATCCGTGCCATGGGGTTCTCTGCAAATCAAGGCACGGTAGCCCTCAGCGTTTGCTTTGTCCCATCCCAGAAGGCTGCTCGACGACCAGAAACCAAGGTTTGACAAGGCTGCAGCCGCAAAGCAACAAGACCGAACCCAAGTGCATTGCGGGGAACATGAAACAAGTGGGCCTTTGACAGCCGAGTTCCTGTGCCCCACTGACTGCGGGAGACGCGCCCGCCTCCATCCTGACGCGCTTGATCTGCTCCGCACCAATGACACCCTCACTCTCACCACTGGCGCCCTCGCTGGTCTCATTGGCCTCATTGGCCTCATTGGCCTCATTGACCTCGACGCTGGCAATCATTCCAAAAAGTGGAGACATGGGAAACCTGGATCCAAGCCCAAGGACGGCCAATTAGTTGGACCCGACACCCACCAAGATCTGCAGCTCCACAGCACCAAGTGCATCCAACGGACACCGCAACGGAAATGGACATCAAGTCACAAGCTGTGGGCATTGAAGCATTGCTCTTCTTTACCAATTCCAGTCTGAACCACCGCAAACAAACCCACACTTTGACCAGGCATGGATCAAACCCCTCAACAACGCAAAGGGCCTCATTCTTCCCCCAGCTAACAATGACAATAAATTCCAACCAATTCAAACACGAGATGCCCGCTTGAAACATCACTCTATCACCCTCGCCAAAAAGGAAGCTCATTTTGAAATTGTGCAGAAGGTGCTGATTGAACAAAACTCAGGGAGCCCCTCGGCCCTGCACAAATAGTCAAAAATTCTCGGGGTACCTTCCCCATTCTTTCCAGGGATCCTGCTTTCCAAAAAACCACCAAAAGATCCAAGGGGAACAGCTGGTTTGAGAAGAACGATGGTTGAAAAGAAGGGGCAATCGAGCCTTAGAAAATGGGTGCGGATTTATTTTGGGATGTTTTTCGTTTTTTTTTTGGGGATTTTTTTCCGTTTTTCGTCCGGGCCAGCAAAGTGTCGAATTTTACAGCATTTTCTCGCGAAATTGACGCATTTCACTAGCTCGTCAACATCCCCAGCATCGTTTTCAACATCCCCCGCATGTCCGACCAACATCCCTAGCATCACCAACAAATGGTGGGTAACAAAATCCAAGAAAAACAGAGCGGGGTGGTGATGATTCGAACAGGGGTGCAATTAAATCTCTGCAAAAAGTCTAAAAAGTAGCGGGGGGGTTGGGGGGGGCGGCAGCCCCCCCCATGATGTTCGAAGAATTTGTAGAAAATCTAAAACGTAGCGGGGGGGTTGGGGGGGGGCGGCAGCCCCCATGATGTCGGAAGAAGTGGTGATTCAAGTAGGGGTGCAATGATTCAAGAAAGGGTGTGATAGAATTTAAAAGGCAGCGGGAGGGTTGGCGGGGGTGGCTTCCCCTATGATGTTCGAAGAAATGCATACATACAGACATACACGGACTACACAGATTACCTAAAATATCGTATTTTGCAGCATTTCTCGCGAAATTGGACGCTCGAAAAAGTGATGATTCAAACAGGGGTGCAATTCAATCTCTGCCGGGCCAGTAAAGTGTCGTATTTTACAGCATGTTCTCGCGAAATTGACGCATTTTACACTAGCCCGTCAACATCCCCCGCATGTCCCACCAACATCCCTAGCATCACCCACAAATCGTGTGACGGGATCAAAGAAATGATGATTCAAGTAGGAGGGCATGTCAATCCCTGTAAAAAAATAAAAAGTAGCGGGGGGGTTGGGGGGGGGCGGCAGCCCCCCCCACGATGTTGTTTGCAGAAGTGATGATTTGAATAGGGGTGCAATTAAATCTCTGCAAAAAGTCTAAAAAGTAGCGGGGAGGTTGGGGGGGGCGGCAGCCCCCCCCCATGATGTTCGAAGAATTGATGATTCAACTAGGGGTGCAATTAATTAAATTTCTGTAGAAAAACTAAACGTAGCGGGGGGGTTGGGGGGGGCGGCAGCCCCCCCATGATGTCGGAAGAAGTGGTGATTCAAGTAGGGTGCAATGATTCAAGAAAGGGTGTGATAGAATTTAAAAGGCAGCGGGAGGGTTGGCGGGGGTGGCTTCCCCTATGATGTTCGAAGAAATGCATACATACAGACATACACGGACTACACAGATTACCTAAAATGTCGTATTTTGCAGCATTTTCTCGCGAAATTGGACGCTCGCAAAAGTGATGATTCAAACAGGGGTGCAATTCAATCTCTGCCGGGCCAGTAAAGTGTCGTATTTTACCGCATGTTCTCGCGAAATTGACGCATTTTACACTAGCCCGTCAACATCCCCCGCATGTCCCACCAACATCCCTAGCATCACCCACAAATCGTGTGACGGGATCAAAGAAATGATGATTCAAGTAGGAGGGCATGTCAATCCCTGTAAAAAAATACAAAGTGATGATTTGAATAGGGGTGCAATTAAATCTCTGCAAAAAGTCTAAAAAGTAGCGGGGAGGTTGGGGGGGGCGGCAGCCCCCCCCCGATGATGGTCGAAGAATTGATGAGTCAACTAGGGGTGCAACTAAATCTCTGCAGAAAATCTAAAACGTAGCGGGGGGGTTGGGGGGGGGCCGGCAGCCCCCCCCATTGATGTCGGAAAAACACCACCTGCCGAAGAGGAACTGGGAATGCAGAGGATGCGAAAAGCCGAAAAGCCTAGAAGCCCAGAAGCCGAGAAGCCAAGAAGCCGAAAAGCCAAGAAGCCAAGAAGCCCAGAAGCCGAGAAGCCGAGAAGCCAAGAAGCCAAGAAGCCGAAAAGCCAAGAAGCCAAGAAGCCGAGAAGCCAAGAAGCCAAGAAGCCAAGAAGCCAAGAAGCCAAGAAGCCCAGAAGCCAAGAAGCCAAAAGCGAAAAATAAAATCAACAAAAAAAACGAAAAAAACATCCTAAAATAAATACCCCTCCTTAGAAAATTCGTGCGGGTGTTGGCAAGGGCCTCCGCTTCCGGCGGGGCTGGCGACGAGCAGGACGACAGCTCCAGCTCTTCGGGCACCGGGGACAACGCGGGGTCGGGGGCCCCATGCCGCGCCTCCCACCAACACTTGGGCTCCTCAGAACTCAGAAGAGCCAGCCAGCGTCTCTGGTATTTGGGGGGGTGGGGGCGTCAAGAGAGTCTTTCTTGAAACAGGAACAATGTTAGCGGAATCCGGGAAAACATGTCATTCCTAATTACTCCAATCATTCTACTTGTGTAGAGCCACTCGGGCCCCCACCCGCGCAGGTGCGACTTGCCCGCAGCGACAAGTTCCAAGTTCAGAATGTTATCCCTTGCGAAAATATGGGGGGGTGGGGGGTGGGGCAGAATTCAAATTATGCTGAACTACCTCAATTCAACGTCACTAGCAACACCATGTCCAATTCCCTGCAACACGCCAAAGCGATGACTTGCTGAAACGAAAACGCCTCTAGATAGTCTTGTTTGTCAGACTGTCAGTTGCAACTGTTTCCAGGGCTTCATTGTAGGGCTGCATCTCCCCTCCATCGGCCGACAAAGAAATACGTGGTTGCCCTGGGGGCCAGCAATGATATATATTTCAGTGACCTCAGCATGTCACATGGGGACCCAAACAAGCTTCACTGTCGGTAGATGCTATCGTCTCACCTCCCCCATTCTTCGGCTTGATTGGCCCAAGAGTCTCTTCTGGCAACATTACCGCCCAAAATCCGTAGGGGCCACACCCAAAACACATAGCCGTCTGCAAAACACCCTAGTCAAAGCGATGGACGAACCTTCCGCGCAAGCTAACAGGTGGTGCATCTCTGTGTTGAGGAAATGTCATCAATCCCAACAGGATTTTGCGCTCTCACAGCGTTTGCACTCACTCGTCCCAGCGTCCGCGGCTTGTGCAAACTCCTGGTCTCGCAGCTCTGCGAGGGCCTGTCGGCGCCCAACAACCCCATAGCAGCTGATTTGTTTGTGGGGCACTGCTGCAGTTTACAATCAGCATCAATAGCCCAGCCTCAACTCCCCACCTATCCACCTTCCCCCACCCATCCACCTCTGCCTCCGCCTCCTATCCACCTCCTCCACCTACACCTCCCCCACCTATCCACTCACCCACTCCCGCTTCACCCACTCCTCCCCACCCCCGCCTCCCCAGCCACCCCCACCTCCACACGCCCCCACCTCATCCCCCAATCGCCAACATATCTGCCCTCGTCCCTTTTCTCGTGTCCGCCTCCCGAAGGCAGCGGTTCTCCGCATGGATGCGCTGGTACTCCGCGGACAGCAGAGAGAGGTACCCAAAGAACGGCCCCTCGCCTGATACGGAGTCCGGACGACATGAACACAAGCCGCGATTCACTAGCACCGAAGAAGCGCGCACACACACACACACCACACACACACACACACACACACACACACACACACACACACACACACACACACACACACACACACACACACACACACACACACACACACACACACACACACACACACACACACACACACACACACACACACACACACACACACACACACACACACACACACACACACACACACACACACACACACACACACACACACACACACACACACACACACACACACACACACACACACACACACACACACACACACACACACACACACACACACACACACACACACACACACACACACACACACACACACACACACACACACACACACACACACACACACACACACACACACACACACACACACACACACACACACACACACACACACACACACACACACACACACACACACACACACACACACACACACACACACACACACACACACACACACACACACACACACACACACACACACACACACACACACACACACACACACACACACACACACACACACACACACACACACACACACACACACACACACACACACACACACACACACACACACACACACACACACACACACACACACACACACACACACACACACACACACATGCACAAGGATAGAGCAAACATGGCCCTGATGAATGATGATAAGCATTCCATACATTACACAAACCACTGGCAACAACAAATGGTAAATCCACACGTACACAGTAAGCCTCGAAACAAATGAGGTCTTGTTTTGTCTGGCTACCACTGCCAACTGCAGCATTCCCCGATGCCAAGTAGAAAAGCCGCGAAGACGCGTCGCTGGGTTCAACCAGATTGCCGCACCCAACGTAGATTGGCCCGAGTCCGAACTGTTTGCTTATGCCCAAATTCCCAGCACCCAGCACCCCGCCTGGCGCTGTCTCTGGCACCATGTCGGCCATGGGGCAAGAAAACGGGCGCGGGCAGGGGGGTCTGGATGGATGACCGGGGGGGGGGGGGGGGCACTTGGCTCAACAGCCCAAGCGAGGGAAACATGCTGGGGATTGAGTTCGCGGCGCTTCCAGTTGACTTAGCCAGAACTTTGGAGCTGCTCAAGTCGCTTCGACCCTGAGCAGCTGCATTGGATCCTTCTCGATGTTTGGAACTCGGCGATGAAGCCCAACTAACACTGAGGCCAACGGAAGAATCAACATGCTCAACAACACATGATTCACGGCACGATTCTGGCCAAGCAATCTGAAGCTAAGAACGCGTGACTCTGCCTGCACAAGTACGCTTTCTGAGGAACGAGAACATGTCTTCCCGCAAAGAACATCCAATTCGGGCATCCGGATCTGAGTCTCAAATAGACTCCTGCGAGTCCAAACATGACTGAATCACAGGACGGCCGCCGACAGGGCCTTGAGCTGAGCACTCGCCATTTCTGACATTTGATCACATTCGGATCGCTCAAGCAATCATAGATGCGCATCTAGATTCCGAAAGGCCCAATACCTAATTCAACTGGGCCACGACTAGAAAGAACCAGTCGCCAATGCTTCGTAGCTTCTGGCAAAGGCCCGCGGCTGTTTCGCCCTGGGGCACTGGTCTGTTGGTGACACTGGAGAAGTCTCAATCACATGAGAACGTGCTAATCTGATGCCGAAAAAAACACATTTGCCCAATGCGCAATACGTGCTGAGCCAAACAAGCAAAGCAACACTTTCGGCCGTGTCAGATTCGTGGGTTCGCGTCGCCTCATGTGCTGAGTCTCAGTGATCGGAGCGGGGTCTCTGACTCCCAAGCTCCGGATGGCGCAACAAGCACAGGGCTTGGCCCATACACCATGCCACTGTGAAAGGCAGCCTTCTGGCACTGCAAAGTGCCTTTCTGGGAAAGTATAAGAAGTATCACACCTCAAGAGGGCACCAATGTCAAAAAACCGCTTGTTTACTTGAAGCAAAACTTGTGATGTCTAACCAGTAGCAAGGATTGCGACAGCAAGGATCAAGGTCAGCTACAAATACAACCGCTACGCAGCCAGACTTTGCTCGCATTCACTCCTCCGCAGAGTCTTTTGGCGGCCTCAGCCCGCGTACACGTGCACATACCCGGATTGGGTCTATAAGCACCTCTCTGCCTGGCAGGCTCCTGAGCGCACGAAGTCACGCCCGCCTTTGACCCTATGTCTATCGTGAGCTTCGGCCCTGAAACTGCCAAAGCGTGCAGGGCTCGGAGTTTGGGGCCGTTCTGCTATGGCAATGGTGCTTGGCACAGTGCTTGGCGCCCGCGCATTTCGATGCGAGGCCTCAAAAAGTTGAGGTACAGATTCCGGAAGGGCCTGGCCGAGCTCAGTTCAAGACTCGGAATCCACAAGGACCCAAGTGTTTCAAGTCTCTGTCCCAAGGCACCTCAAGCAATTCAATTTGTTGCAAGCTTCCAGTCGAGGACTGTCAGCGTGGCAGTCCATAACTGAGTGCGAACCTTGCAACTGAAGCCACTGCTTGACCCATGCCACAAATCTTCAATTGCCAAGAGCAAGCTCTGCAGCGTCCAACTGCCAATAATTGCAAATGCCTGCTTCGGGAGTACTTACATTGTCTTTGTCTTGATGCTGCTGAAAAAGGACTGAAGCTTCTGGAAACAAAAGACGCAGTCAAAATGGCATCAAGTCAGTCATCAGCAGGTGGCTTGGTCCTGCATTGCCTTTTAAACAAACATTGCAACAGGCATCCCATGATCGGATTGCGCGAGTGTGATTCGTGCGTGGCATACTGTGGATGGACGAAATCTTGCACCACTTTGAAACTATGGGAAACCATTGTTTGTTGGTATTTGCGGGGGAATCATCACTCCAGGGTTTGTTAGATGGTGCAGGATTTCGTCCATCCACAGTAGGTTGACTCAAGATCTTAAGTCAGGCGTGTTCCATCTAACGAAGGACACTCGGTATCCTTCTCAAACAACAACCGCCCAAATAGTTTGGATGATCTTGAACGGTGCCACTTCAGCCTAGGCCACCGCCAGTCCAATATTGAGAAATACACCTATCAATGGCACATCAAACGATGATGATGATGTTGATGTTGATGTTGATGATAATAATGACGTTGATGTTGATGTTGATGTTGATGATGATGATGATGATGATGATGATGATGATGACGATGACGGTGAGGGTGACGGTGAGGGTGAGGGTGATGGTGATGATGATGATGATGATGATGGTGGTGATGATGATGATGATGATGAAGCTGACGCTGACGCTGACGATGATCATAATGATATGACAATGATGATGACGATGATCATCATAATGGTCATGATCATGCTGGTGGTCCGAGCTGCTGCTGCTGGTGCTGGTGGTGAATGATCCCCATCCCGGACACAAGACCCGGCGGCAGCACCAGGCAAGGCTCCACACTGGGCAAGCCGGGCCGAATGAAGTGGGGGGCACGTCTGCATGATCAGGACGGGTCCCACCATACAATTGCAAAATGCGATATCCAATCTGAGGTTTGGGAGAGGCGGGGATGGAATGTAACGCTTCAGCAACTGGTCTATGCTGAGCGTGTCAGCTTTTTGACACCGTGCCAACATCATAATCATTTTGTTGAATGTAGCAGTTCAACCTGCCTCGCTTTACATGCTGCAAGTCTAAGCCCGAAATTCCACATTTGCGATCTGTGGCCGCCGCCAACGAAATTGTACTCCTGGCAAGCAAGCCAGCGAGCAGGATTCCCAGGTTGACGTAGAGACAATTATATTGCAGTGAGATGACAAGTATTTGCCGGGCTCATTGATTGTGGCATTGACTGCAGTAAGTTCACAGCTGCCACTTGAACGAAGTCCATTCTACCCTCGCTTCAAGTGAAACACATACAACTACAAGATAAGCATGCTAGCATAGCCATCCAATCCAGCTAGCGATTGCCAAATATACCTGCACATTTGCAGCTCGATTTTGTTGCTCTGACCATGACAAATGCTCAGTAATCTCCAGCTAGAAACAACATCCTGAACCTAGTGGAGTCGAACATGGTTGACTCAAAACCAAAACACTGAAAAGCGATAAGGAGCAAACAACGATAGCCCCGACATGAGTCGAACACTTTATCAACCTATACTGTTGACTTCAGGCAGAGCACCATGTAGCAAAAAAAAAACTCACAGCTCTCGAGCCACTGGCTGCCAAAAACCGCCGCCCCGAGGCTCGAGACATGCGGAACAACCCACAACATCGCTCAACACATTACCAACATGTGGATTACTTTCAACTGTATCATTTTGCAACTTAGTACATTATCTCCGTTACCTATTTGTCTCCGTGTGTTTCCAAAATATGTAAGCCAACAAGCGGAGACCATTTAATGAAAGGCAACAAGAGGTAGAGCATGCCAATACCATTATATCATGTTGTCCAATGTAGAAGGATAAGTTGGACAATATTAATTGGAGCGGGAAGAGAGACAAGTTTCAGCGCGGTATTTTCAGCTTCATACCCATGTGGTCAGTTTGCACAAAGGGCATCCACGTTATCATGCCTGCATCCAGTGGTGCAGGTTTCTGTTACATGCCAATGGTAAAAATGAAGAAGGGAAGAAAGATATATAATATAATGGATTTTAGTTGGTGTCCTTCATCCTTACTTGCCGGGAAATAGCATTCATGAGCGTGTGCAGTAGATTCATATGTGCTCATATTTTGCCAACCTAGTCCAATAATATGGGATAGCTTAAGGACAAATTCACGTATTATAACCATCCCATCTTCTCTTCGCCTTCTCTCACGTCTCCCACCTCATCTTTGCATTTGCCCTGTCCTTCCATCGGTACTTCTTGGTGGAGTAGCCCGCTGAGACGCGTGTCCGCTGGTACCTGGGAGGAGGAGGAGGAGGCGGCAAGCTGAAATCTCTGCCTACAGCTGAAGCCCACACGGCGAGTCTTACGACATTTGATGTTTGTCTCATGGCTCAGAGCATTTTCCGCAAGCATCAAATAACGCAAAGCGGGATTTGTGAGGTCGGATTGCTGTGCGTCAGTCTCAAACGGACATCAATTGCAAGATCACACTGCCCTTCGAACATGAAAGCGGCTCAGTTGTCAGCTGAAGAAGGTCGAAGCATTCGAGACGTGATCCGGAGAAGCTGGTCGAGAATGTGATTCGCGCGCGATTCCCGAATCCCGAATTCGAATCCCGGATCCAAGGATGGGGCCTTCCCAGTCCCGAATCCCGAATCCCGAAATATAAGTCGAGTCCCGAATCCCGAATCCCGAATCCCGAAAATGTGATTCGAGTCCCAAATCCCGAATCCCGAATCGATGGTGCCATCCCAGTCCCGAATCCTGAATCCCGAATCCCGAATCCCAAAAATGTGATTCGAGTTCCGAATCCCGAATCCCGAATCTGAGGATGGGGCCATTCGTGTCCCGAATCCCGAATCCCGAATCCCGAATCCCGAATCCCGAGAATGGGAATCCCAAAATGTGATTCGGGTCCAGAATCCCGAATCCCGAATGCCGAAAATGTGATTCAAGGCCCGAATCCCGAATCCCGAATCCCGAACATGTGATTTAATCCCGAAATGTGATTAAATCCCGAATCACGAAATTGGCAGCGACCTCCGGATCGCCACTCAAGCATTCAGACCCGTGTGCAAACATGACAAGATGTCCGCCATCAGGCAAAAAACGCTTGAACATGAACCACAGTCAGCAAAACGTTGAGAGTATCATGTGACTACGACAAATGTGACATGATGGTGTTAAAGGAGGGGACATGCTCTTGGCAGGTAGAACTTTGCTGACAAGGCAACCTTCTCTCTGACTTGCGGAGTGCAAAACAAGTGCTATGTTACAACACTTGAAATGTCAAACCCGAACATCAGCAAAGCAGTGCGACCTCTGCTTCTACAAGCTAGCAACGAGAATCAATTCCGAGATCTCAGTGCTAAGGCGGCATGGCAACTGTGAACCTACTAAAGATGCAACAGGATACATCTCAATTTGGGGGGCATTTGGTGGGTTGACGCCCATTTCAGTTGCCTGTCAGCTACTAAGCAATAACTTCTGCTCGATGGACAGGTTTCATTGAGAGGGGTCACTTTGGATGGGGATCCTTCATTGCTGCTTTTCCCTCTCAATCCAGCCCTTTCACTTTAAGGCCCGGGCTGGTGGATGAGCACTGCAATCCAGCTGTTCACGAAAACAAGCCTATGGCAGTGAGAAGGGATGGCAAGACCCCGAGATGGTTGGCTACGGTGTGGTTGCCAGCCACAAGGGTGTCCTTTCACACAGGATATGATCCCCAAACTGAAGCTGGGTGGGGCATGTAGGCCCTTGCACAAACAAACAAACAGTCATACGACTTTCGACATTGGCGAGATACCAAGGCCATTCGGGGGGCTGCTGAGGCAATAGTTGTTCGATTGATCTGTCAAGTGTGCGTTCTGGCACAGCCCTTGGAGTGTCGACACGCAAAGCCCGAGTGCACGGAGAAAAGAACATCGGCCAACCACTCCATCATGGGCATTTATCCTCCCAAGCTTGCCATGCAGAAACACCCATTTTGGACGGCCCTTGTGATCTGAAAAGAAACACCTCAACTGGATGTGATGCTAAAGGAGAATGCAGAATACCCTCAAAAATGATTGGTGCAAATAATCCCGCTGGAAATGATGTGCACCCAAAATTCCCCAATTAAAGCATACCCAACTCGGCAGCCGGCTTGAACGTAAACACTAGGATCACGTTGAAGGCCAACCTGGGCGCCAATGGGCCGCGACGCGGCCAATTCCCTGACAAACTCCCAATGGAGACAGATTCAAGCCGCGCAAACAATACTCCAGAGAGGTTTGCTGGCGCTTGTTTCTTGCCTTCACGCAATCGCCCCCTGATATAGCCCGAGCTAGCATTGCCCGGACTTCAAGATCCTGCGGCGGTGGCTCCACATAGCAGAACACACGCCTCTTGCAAGGCCAATGCGCTCATCCGAGTGACGGCAGGCCGCGTGATGCCTTTTTTGGGGCCATGGCACCAAACTAAACACAAACTCCCTGGAAGATTTTGCAAAAATGGCTACGACCCCCCCCCCAAAAAAAAAAAAAAACATGCTTGGCATGGATTTGAAGAAGACGGGGTTGACCCTCAATATTGACAGGCCATTCCAAACACACATCTGTCACTACGGCCGCTGCCCAGTCCATCCCAGTCCCAATGATTACAAGCCATACAGCCCTAATCACAAAAGCTCGACATAGGCTCCTTCCCAGAATCGTGAAAGCGGGCGTTTGGGCCCTCTTTCGCGGTCTGGAACCACACACACATACACACACGCTGCCGTGTAAGGGCGGGAGACCAGGGGCGTGTTTTCACACCATAACACAACACGGCACAACACAACAAATATTTGCGCGCGCACACACACACAAACAACCCCCCCCCCCCCCCGGCCCGCACGCACAAGCTTGCGCGACGCACATTAAACACAAACACATGACGCTCGCACGCACATGCACAGACACACGCACACAGGCACGCGCGCGCGCATGCAGCACCCACAAATACAACATATTGAAAATACACACGCACACAAAACACACACACACACACACAGAACACAGCGCAAACACACATAACCCGGTTGAATGAAGGTGTGCCTGACACTTTGCGGGATATTTCTTGTGGCAAAGAACTTGTGGCGGGCATTCGAGCAAACTAAGTATTACTTACTGCAAAGACTCACAAACCCCGGATATAAGCAAGGGCCCTACTCAGGGCCCTACAGCATGGGTAAGCTTGCTTTACCCCCAGGTGAGTTCCTCGTAACTTCCCCAAGCACATGGCCGCGACGGTGCCGATCGATCAGCTGGGCTTCAGGCTGCCAAGAGTTATTGGGGTCGAAATCCTGCAGAGCGCGGCCATGGACTCCTTTTGGTCCAAAGAACCAACGCGACACCAAGCATGTGGGATCTCCGCCTTCAACACGTTACCAGCGGCCTCAAAACAGGTAGCGCCGTTCCAACTCGCTGTGTCAAATGGTTTCAATCAACCTAAAATGGGGACAACCAAATGGGGCCAACATGGCCCCACATGAAACCTTGACAAATACAATCATGAAACTAGACAACGGCCTAAATACTTGGCATGTTGCGGCAGTCACCCCCCCTGTCTCTGAAACAAATCAGCAGGCCGCCTTCTAAAGTGGTCTCAATGGAACCCCTGCTTCATTCTGCCGCCTTCAGAAAGGCGAGTAGCCCTTGATCCCACAGGCATTGTGCCTTGGAACATGTTGTCAGACCCATTTCATATGAGAAAGTGTTCACCACTCAGAGCTGAAAGGGAATCCACTAAAACAACTAGCCCGGAAAAGCATGCAAAAGCCATCACTAGAAAGTGCTGTGGTTGGAGGTAGTTGAAGCATCCTTGGAACGAACTCAAGGCGGGGATGTAAGAACTTACCTTGAAAGATCTTCAATCAAATATGTTATAAACAAAACACTTTGCAGCACCGCTTATGTTTGTGATTCTCCATCTGACAGTCTCACAGTTGAGACCGCATAAGTTGATTAGGTGGTGGCGCCAACTCGGCGCTGAGCTATTGACAAAGTCTCTCATACGCTTACAAGTGCCCTTGGCATGTATAATTACAAGTGGAGTTGTTCCTTGAATTCTGGATGATCCACACTTTCCCAACCTGATCCCAAGAGCAAAGCCTTGACGTCTTGTTGCCTCCAGTCACTGAGGTCGCCCTCACCTCATGCGTCACTCGCTCCTGGATGGTGTCATTGTCCCCGTAGACCATGAGCAGTACCCGGACCATGGCGGACCAAAAAGTCCTACCAAGGAAGGGACGCGCGGCTGAACTCGAGAAGCCCATCACACAGCCTCTTGGTCTCTTGGGCTGTTTCCGAAATCCCGTATCCTGTGCAGTGTTGACGGTACTACGCGCCTGGTGGCCTGAGCCACTCTAACTTGAAAGCTTGCCAAATAGAGTTGGGATGCCCCCCAAGGGATTCTGCACCACGGCACTTACTCAAGGCTGCTCTTCGGAGGATTTGCTTAAAGTCGGAAAATTTGCGGTAACAAGCACATCTTCAAGAAACCACCACAGCTCACTGTTGCGCAACAAGCTGCGATCCTTGAGGCAACGGCAGCCTCCACTGCATGGCTCAAACCATTTGAGTTTGGCTCCTAGATTGTGCTTCCCGTTCAACAGCAATCGAAAGCTCATCCACCGGTGGAGGCCCTGTGCTTGCATCTTGAACTTCAGGGTGACCATCCATGAACCTTCCGAGATGCGCTCAGAAAATCCGCCGAACTTGTGGGTCTGTGATACCTTAGATGAATCCCCTCGAAGCACCAAGCAAGCACAAACAAGCAACCACACCCCCTTGAAACCATTTGTAGAGAATATCCTTTTGGTGGGCGCCTTTTTGGTCTGCAGCAGGGCTGAGCAACGGCCCGCTCCTGTTCTTCTCGTCGAGGGCGGCGCCCACAGCCATGCTGATGAGGACCAGGCCCGCCATCAAAGGAATCACGATCACAGCCAGCCTATGCATGTTGGATGATGTTGGATGCATGGGCGGGTTTGATCGAAATTTCGATGGGTGAAGCAAGTTAAGGGCACAAGCCCGGGGCTGCCTTCATTTCCGCGGGCTTCCACCCGCGAACATTGTCAGTTCAGGCACTCGCTTCCCAGGACACAGCTGGTCGAATGATTGGAATGACCAGTCTGAAGGTGGCAAAATCAAGACTGGCCAAATAAATTTTGACAGATTGAGCCTGATTAAGCAAACAGCACTCATCGGCAACCCGCTGCAAAAGCCAACTGCAATTTGCACAAACTCGGGGCTGTGGATACGCGTCCTCTGGATTTTGCGGGGTCCCCAGAAATGTGTGCCTTCTGAAAGAAAAGAATAATCGGCACTGTGACCCTGGGAAAACCCCGTGCCCGAAAATGATCCAGTGAAATTAGGCACCGTTTCCCGCCATCGTGCCCTCTCAATTTTTCCCGTTTCTCCCGTTGCATGGTGCCCTGGGGAAGGCTCGGGGATACCGGGAAGTAGCCCTCGACAAACATGCTGAGTGTTGGGTTCCAAGAAAAGCACCTGTCACTAGCGATCCATTTGCAACATCTCTGTTACAGGGCTCGGCCAAATCAGTTCAAGTTCAAGGGCCTCGCCGTGTGGATCCTGAGATCCCCAGCCCCGCCGATTTGCTCTGCACCTTCTGATTTCGAAACTCGCCAAGCACTTGCCAATGTCACACCCATCTCCTGCATCATGTAACAGTTTCTTGGCGCTGCTCGAGTAGGATGAGAAGTGGGAGACAACCTTATCGAGTCGCCACATGTTCCACGCATGCTTCGTGAAGCGGTCCGACAAAAACAAATGGGGGGGTGGCATTCGGTCAATCGCAGTTCAAGAAGCAAAAAAGACAACTATCTAATGAGTCACCTGCACAGCCAGCCAGCAGGGTTAACCGACAACATATCATGTCACGACATGCCCATTTCACAGCCTCCGTCCCAAAAAGTATCTCCGGCCTGAGACCAACTGAGACGGATGAGGCCACAGTGGACCACATCAGGAAGACCTAGCACATTGACACAACCAGCCAGACTTGCGCAAAACATTGCAGCTTTGCCCTGATCAGTCTGGCTCTGAAGCAAGGCCAGCGTGGATATGTCAACTGCATCGGCCGCAGTCGTGACTCTCACCCATGTCCATCCATATACTTTCATGGCAAATCAAAACACTGCCTATGAAAGTGCTATTGATCACACAGGCGCACAACATGATGCAATGTCTTGGAGTTGCAAGTCAGCATGTCGCATTCGTCAGCTCCAACACAATCAACCCAGCATCTTGAACCCTTTGCTCCGGTCCAACAAGCTCTGGGACAAATGGAATCATCTTCCAAGGGGGAAGGGAAAACTCGAGTTCGGCTTTTGAGAACGAGCTGTGGCATGGAGCAAGCTCCTGGTTGGTGACTCGGCACCCACTAAGCCCCTCCCCCTTGAAAGAACATGCCGGGCTGGCATGGCGGTTGACCCTGAGGAAATAGACGAAGCGGTACATGAGCAATGCCTCAGCCCAGCTGGACATTTGCCAGGCGTATAGCCATCTGGACTGATCTAGATCCTTCGCGCAGTTCACACCTACACACAACACTCCAAAAACGGGCTATTTTTCCTGAGGCCAGATCTTGCCCGCAGTGGGTACCTCTGGTGGCCTTTTGAAATGCGGTTTCACTTCCTGAAGTCCTCCAAAAGAAAAAATGTAAATTAGGCCCTGCAAATCGATGTGGAACAAAGGCGGCCCCAACGGAGTGACCTGGCATTTTGGGCTCCGAAGAGACAAACTCGACCGGAACTTTCACCCGTGGAACGCGGTCTAGGCCCCGCGCTGAGAGCAACGCGTCCACGGCGAGGTGGATGTTGAACATCTCCGCTAGCTCCCCCGCCTCGCGAGCCACAGCATGTGTTCCATCGATGTCGATGGAATCAACTAGTCGGATTGCTAGGGGGTGTTCAAGATCCCATAAGTGAAGGATTACCTCTATGGGACGCATGCCTGTGCGTCAACTACCGGCTCATTGATCCTGGGTGCCATAAGTATCTTGGTGCGATACCTCCAACGAGGACTGACCTTTGAATTTACAACTTGCAAGTACACGGCGCTTTACAGGGGGTCTGATCCTATTCACAACACTGCTCTGTACGAGATGGATATGAAACATGATATGATACAGCACCATCTTCAATGGTAAGACAAAACAATATAACATAACATAACACAACATGATACAATACAACATAACGTACTATACTATACTGTACTATACCTAACATAGTACAATACAATCTAACATAGCATGATATGATATAGGTATGTATATGCATTTCATACTACTGTTGTTGATGTAAAGTTAACACAACAGAATACACACCAGCACATCCAGGAAGAAGGTTCCCGCCATGCTATTGGGCACAGAACTGCCAGTCATCTGCAAACGGACAGGACGCCGCTTGACCCTAAGAAGCTGCTTTCCAGCAATGAAGCACCTTCTGGTCCCCCGCCGAAGCAACAAATTATAAGCCCGCTTCCCTGGTCATGTTTTTCTTCATCGAATCTTCTCATAAGGGGTGCTTGGCTTATCCCCTTCTTCACTCCACGGCTTAGACCCTGAAGCTTGGTGTTAGCTGGCACCAAATCATCAATTATTCGCAAAGAACTTGACAAAGCAACCGGGGGAAACAGCCACAGGGGGGGGACACGACTCAGCCCAAGATCCATAGGCCTGGTTTGGGGTTCGCTTCGACGCCGACCTAGGGGGTGAACCTCAGATCAGGAGCCCCTAATTCAGTGCTTAGCTTAGGCTTTTCAAAACCCAAGGCTTAGACCCAAACTGCGGGCTGGTGATACTAAGCATTGGCGATACTAAGTTATGTATTGGCAATGCAACATTTCATATTGAAAATATGTACTGTTGTATTCCCAACTGAAGCCCGCTCCCACTGAACGCGGATTCCCAAACTGTCTTTTGCTTGGTCCTCTGAAATAATCGGAAGTTGACATCACGAGCCATGCTCCCCCACGTCCATGGGAGTCTGCACATGCTGCACGTAGAAGTTCACAGAAGGGGCCTCAGGGCAGCAGCGAAGAGCCGCGGCCATTCTATGCTCCCACCTTGAGAGGAAGTGATGGAATTCCTGACTCCTCACAATTTCATTTACAAACAGGATGGGGATGTCAACTTTCAGCCAGTACCCCAACGTTGGATTTTGGTGCCTGCAACCCCTCTCATTGAGACCTTTTCGCAAGAGCGTGTGCGCGCGCGTGCGTGCCCTGTGTGCGCGTGCTTGTGTGCTGCGTGCTGCGTGCTGCGTGCTGCGGGCTTGGTGCTGGGTGCTGGGTGCTGGGTGCTGGGTGCTGGGTGTGAGTGTGTTTGTGTGCGTGTGTCTGTGTTTGTGGGTGGGGGTGTGGGGGTGGAGGTGGGGGTGTGGTGTGGGTGTCTGTGCGTCTGCGTGTATGTGTGTGCCCAATGTCATCTCCTTATTTACTGTAGAGGGTCAATAGTGTTCGCTGCTCACGTCCGGTTCTGACAGTTGAAGGCGAGTCATCCACGCCTGTCCGCAGATTAGCAAGAGCCAGGTAGGAAGGTTTTGCACAAACGACGGTTCGGGAAGCCAATTGCATCCTTTGCTAAACCTCGGATCCGTCAAACTTTGGCCAAAGCAACAAGGTTTGCTGAAAACTATATGTGGACCCTGCATTGCTCCCCACTCGGCGAAATGCACACAGGTTTCTTGAAATCAGCCATTTCAGCTCGGACGGGCACAAAGCGACGGGCAATGTCGCGTACTGCTGGACTGCACCTCTGTCCCACAGCTGAGTGAAGGCCACCCAACGCAGTTTGCCGTAAGCTGGAGCTGTATGGTGCGTCAAAACAGGCCGGCCAAAATGGTGTTCTTCGTCCGCTTCGCTTTACGCTCAAACACACCCTGTGCGCATTGGGCTGCCGGCGCTGAAGGTCAGATACCGAAACCCGAACATCACGAAGCTCAGGATTCCGATGGCCCAGTCAACCAGACCCTGGCCGATGAAAAATCCGACACCCTAGAGGTCAGAAAGCTACGGAAAAGAAGGCGTGAGCTGACAAACACTGAGAAAGGTTGCCATCTGGATGCTATGGTTTTATATGACAACCATCGATTGACCACTAGATTGCATTCTGCGAGAGAAGTGTGGCATGGAAGGTTCTTGCTTCCGATTTGGGGGCAAGTCACTTGACCGACGAAACCGGCCTTTTGTGCAATCAAATTGTGAACATGTCCGCAAGGAATTGCGAGAGTCAATTCTAAGAAGCGAAGGCTTTGAGATGGCCAAAACAGGATGGTGAACAATCATATCCTCTCCGTTCAGGATTGCGCCCTGCATTGCACCCAACAGTTGCCTATCCTTGTGTCGGGGGAGCCAACACATACACAGGTTAACAACACAAATGCACTGTGAAGCAAGGCGTGACATTCTGAGCACATGCTAGCGTTGGTTCACGGACAAGCCGCCTTCTAAGGAAACGTGCAAAACTATGCTTGCCTGCGACAATCTGCTACAAGAAACTGCCAGTCTGTCTCCAGCAAACAGAATGGCCTGCAGCGAGATGCAATGTCTGCAGCCAGCTTCGTTGACGCGGCGCTCGTAGAGGAAGTCCGAAATGAGCTGCGAGGATCGGGCAGTGGCTGGCGGGGCTAGTTTTCGAAACAAATATGCGGTTGTGTGATTATGTGTTTGTGTGTGAATATTCCATGTGTTTATTGCCCCACGTGTGCTTGCAGTGATGCTTGTGTAGTGCTGTGTGAGGTTATCTGAAGAGGTGGGCCAAAATGAAACGGGGCTTGCATTTGCGACCACCTACCAAATCACAAACATACATGTACAGTAGTTTCCGCCCTCCAGCAGAGTTCCAGCATGCCCTTTTGATCCACATAATGTGATTGCCAATGCAAGAGTTGCTCACTCTCACAACATGCATGTCTGGCATTACATAAGCTAGAACCCCCAGAACTCTGCTCAACAATAGGGGGCAGGATTCATCTTCCAAGACCGAAAAAAACTGACATCATCATGTGTGGGAATCCTTCTTGCCTGTCTTTTGTGTATGTATCAATGTGTGTATGTATGTGTGGATGTACGCGCGTGTGCATGTATGCATTTGTGTACGCATGTGTGTGTAGCGCAATGTAGCTTCGTGCAACGCAATGTACTGTAATGCAATGTGATGTCATGTCACGAAAGGTAGCGCAACGTAATGGGCCAGAACGCAGCCTGATGGTTGAAAATGTGGCGTGTACGTGTGTGTGTGTGTGTGTGTGTGTGTGTGTGTGTGTGTGTGCACGTGTGGGTGCGCACCTGTGCGCGCACTCACTTCTGTGTTTGTGCGCGTACATGCGTGTGTATGCGTGTGTGTGTGTGCGCATGCGTGTGCGTGTGTGTAGGTATGTGTGTGTGTGTGTACGTTTGCGCGCATGTCTGTGTATGTATATACACATGCATGCGTGTGTTCGTCTGCGACTTGTTAATAGCCAACGGTCAAGATGTAAAGCACCGGACCTACTCACATTGCCCAGGCAGCAGAGCTGGAAACAATCCGTCAACCTTCTTGGACGTTGCCGAAACATGGATCAGAGCGGTCAAGATGTCGAAAGGTCGGCTTGGGGCCTAATATTAGGTGATGCACCTAATGCCACACTAAATGCTTAAGCTAACAGGTCCAGGTTCATTGCCAGGAGCCGCACTATTTTTGGGTGTTAGTGAGTTTTGTCGGAAGGGAGCTGGTCTTCCCAAGGGCTCAATTCATTGGCACTGATACAGTTCAACTCGGTGATCCGAAAGTGCTGTTGGAGTTGCAACGCAAACACGTCCAGCACCAGCGAATCCAACCAGTTGCCTGGACCGGGCAGATCAGCAGAACCAGGCAAAGCCTGGCGATGTGATTGACGCGGCAGTGAAGCGGTGAGGCGGCAGCATCTGTGAAGCGTGGTTATCTTCGAACCTGCAGCAAAATAATGGTTCATTTCCCCGGGGTCACTGTGCAAGTTTGCGTAAACTGCCCGAGCCTGTGAGTTCCTAAAATGTCCGCTAAGTCACCGCAACATCAATAGCTCAGGCTATGAACCTGAAATGGCAAAAAATTAGTGACATTGTTCTAGACAAACATTTCTGAGCAAATTTGAATTGACCTGTAGCCAGGTAGGTTCATGAGCAAGTCTCAGCAACCCAGACAAACAAAGCTCAAGCACAAGTACACAAACCATGGTTGGTCTTCCCTCACAAGTGAAAGTTTCTGTTGGGAGGAACCCAGCAAATTTGTGACAATTCCCTTTCTGGGCAAGCCAAGGTGAAGGGTTTGCGACGTCTACTTTCACCCACCTGTAAGTCAAATACGCAATTTGTGCGTTGGATTCAGTCGCAATCTATCTTCGCTCTTCTTCGGCTACCGACAAAGACCCGCCCCCGCCCAAGGTAAATCCACCAGAAGGCGCAAGTCACTTAAGTCACCAAGCCAAAGGCGCTCTTCCGCTTCTGTAAACGCGAAAGCTCACCTGGAGCAGCTCGCGAAGCCAAAAGAGCGTGCGACGCGCCCGCCGCGACCCACGCGCGCACGCGCGCAGCTTGCAACGCGCGCGTTTGACGCGACGGCTGACCAAAAAGGAGGAGGCTGCTTGAGCCCCCGCGAGTCACCAGTTGCTTGCCAGCCGACATTACACACACGTAGTCCTCCTTCTTTCGAAGCATTAAAAGATGCGCGGCATGCGCACCGTGGTCTGGCACCACCCCTTGCCTTCACGCAGCCTATGTAGCACGCGCCAGTCAAAGCGAGTTACCTTGATACAACGAGAGGCCAGCGGCCTTGGCGGTTGCACCCAAGCTATTTGCATAGACAAGCTTGAAAGCGTCCTTGTAAGTCTCCACAGCCAGTCGGATTTTGGTCTGCCCGGTCTTCTGCACGAAACATTTTGTGGGTGCAGCCCGTCCCTTGCAAACGTGACTTGGTTTAGTGGGTCGGTCATATTTTAGCAAATGCCCCAACAACCTTACTTTTGCGCTTTTCCAAGTAGCTCCCAAATGTTGAAAATCGGGCCATGATTGTTTCGTATCTCATTATGCATCCTTTGATTGGTTCGCTCTCTGTCAATGAACGTGGGTGGTATTTGCAAAATGAGTCTCAATGAGTTGTTTTGAAATGCGTTAAGTCTCAACCCTTCCGCCTGTATAAGTTGCATCGTCTCTAGGCCATAAAGTAACTTGGACCGTAGAATTGCATTGAAAACTTCGACCTTCAATTTTTATGATGTGTTGGCTTTATTCCAGAAAAGCTTTAGTCTGTGGCACTCAGCCTGTTAGCAACTTCAGCTCGGTTGTCAAAAGAGTCTGTCAAAGGGTCACTGGATACGTCGCCCCTCGCAGGGCCATCCGGCGGAAAATGGACCGTTGACTGCCTCTGGTTTGCTGATAGATTCACACATTTCTCGAGTTCAGGTTGATTCTAAAATAGCGTAAATGACGTTCGACAGTGTAGAGAAGGACGTTAATGCGTTGTGCTTGCGCCAAATATTTGTGTGTCCGCAAACAATATGTAGTCCTCCAAAGCTGCGCAAACGAGCGGAAACCAAACAAACTGGTTCCGACACTGCCGCGTCAAAGCGTTGCGTTCAGCCAGCGAGCTCGGCGCACTTGTGGGCAAAACAGCATCGCGTTTCCTTCTCTGGGCACGATTAGGCGTGTAGTTTGTTCATAGTTTCTGGCATCAATGACGTATATAACTGCACAATAAGCGCCCGTATTTTAAAAATGTTTCTAGCGGAACTATGTATTTTGCAATGGTTCCTCCGTTGCCAGCTTGTGAACATTGTGGGAACTCCCCGGGTGGCCGCGTCGCTTTTCAACAACACAGCACCTCGATTGGGGCATAATTTTACTGGAGGAAAACCAAACTGTCTCGCGAATTCGACATCTATCGGGCAACACCCATGTGGGGGTTGTCCTATATTCCTTTGCCCGGGATTGGGCCCTTGGGCCGCACTTGCGCGGCACTTGCGCGGACTTGCGCGCGCGCAGTGGCGCAGAAACTCGTTTTCGTTGACCTCGGTTTGCGAAGTTTTCGTGTGGATTGCGCGCAAGCTTTTCTAAGCAGTGTGTTCGTCGTTCACACAGCAACCCACAAAGACTCTTCCCGCTGAGGTGGGTCCCGGTAATTCTAGGCCAGCAACATACCCTTGACCCAACAGAAAGGACAGCAGGCTCTGCCACACAGCTTGGACACAGCCTGAAAGAAGGAAAGTGCATGTTGCGGCTGCCTAGCCATTGCTTGAACCGCGCCGCTAAGGACATCCGAGACAGCATGGCTAGATGTCTTGCTGGCGCTTCTCGTGCTTGCGCGCAACTTGCGCGCGGCTTGCGCGCGGCTTGCGCGGATTTTGTCGTGTCAGCTGCCAGTTGCTGATTGTTGAAGTCATGACCGCAGAAGCTTTGGCTTCGTTTGGCGTGTGACTGAAGAAAACGCCGCACCTTTTGCAAACAAGCTTGTGACCTACACATGACCCAAGCAACATTCGAAAAGCATAAGTACAGCAACAAGATATCACCTCCTTTCATGAAGCTAGGCAACATCAGTACATGAAACCCTTCAAAACTGTAACCTTGCGCGTCCCTTGGGCCGCACTTGCGCGCTCCTTGCGCGTGCACAGCTTTTGACAACTTTTACTTCTCCCCGTTCGGCGATAACTAAAACCGAAGACTGGGGTTTTAGGACGGCCCTCATGTGTGTCTGTTCCAGTACCTTTTATTGACTGTCTGTCTGTTCAAAGGGAAACTTGGGCCCCAAATCCCCAAGCACGCAATGCGCTCACCTCTTGGGGCCATAGAAATGGGCCGGAAAAGAAGACCCCAAGCTCTCGAGGGAGGGGCCGCGTCTCTTAGGGCATTCAGGCCCGTCAAACTAGCTACCGTTGAAAGACCCAACGGCTGTAGTTGTTAACTTTGGGAAGTTGATTCTTCATTTTAGCGGCCCGCAAACCTGAACATAGCCTTTTGAGCAGCACCGAAACTCATGGGGGGATAGAAAGCATTGTGGGTTTTATACACCCGTTGTGGGGTTTGTAAAGCGACACCAAATGCTAATAGGTACAGCTCGAATTGGAGATTTAAGCAAAGGCGGGCCACATTCTTTCTAGTTGAGCAAGCCATGAGTTGAACAGCCTTGGCATATGTGGCCTTTTGCGCAAAATTGATGGGTCTGGTAAATGGAATGAAAAAAACAAGTCTCAACCAGCGCCAGCATTTTTGTAACCAAACCAGCCTAAAAAAAGGACACCTCCCCTTGGTTTCTAACCAAACAAAGCGACAAAAAGGACACCTCTGCCGTACCCATGTCCCTTGCTTTGTGGATTTTTACTCTAGGTCCTCCAGTAGAGAGTTTAGAATAAGGGTACCCTTTTTTCTGTAGTCGATTTTAGTAGGGGAACCCTCTCCCAAAAAAGAAACAGTAAAAGGGCACCTAGCTGGGGGACCTAGTGCTGGTTCTGTCGGTTTTTTTTTTTGTTTTTTTTTTTTTTTTCTGGGGGCTCCCGCCGGATGATGTCGGTCAGCAGCAACTCCAAGCCCATGTCGTACTCCACCACCGCGGGCCTGCGCCATGGGTTTCCCTGGGAATGGGTGTTATGCCGGGTGGGTTTCTAAGTGTGTGTGTGTCAAAAAATAGGGAGCCCCCCCACCCCCTAAAAAAAAGTGGGATTTATGATGGGTCTATTTTTTGCCTGAAAAGGGGAACGCGCCATAAGAGAGACACGGAAGACTGGACCCCACATGATTGCCCACAGTTGTGTTTAAGAGTAGCCCACAACCCCAATTCAAATCGCCAAAGCCCCATGCACCGTCAATCTCTCTCAAGCAACAACTGTGAAGTCTCGCTGGCCTGCGAGAAGAATATGTTCGCTCGACATGGTTCACTGTAACAGCCCCGGCAACCCGTCTGGAATTGTCCTCCTCTCACCTACAATTGGAAATGTATGGAAACCGCTTTCCGACAGAAGCAGGCCTCCCACTAGTGCATTATTTTGGGACAGGGATGCTGGAAGCTCTCCAATGACCCCCGTGTATGTGACACAATGCCACTAAGAAACGCGCTGAAGGGAATCCTTTCTAACTCCGAGTTCCCATCTGAGCAGCAAAGCTTACCAACTCTGCGTATAGCACCTGAATTTATCATGAACAGGTCCGCATGGGCTGGTCGTGGGATCTCCAATTTCAGTGCGCTCGAAGGACTCTTCGTGTCTGTGGTTTGCTGACAACAAACAAACGTCCCACTGAAAAAACAAATTAGAATCCTACTTCGCCTAGTTGCCCTTGACCATGGTTGGAGGATTTTTGTGATGCCAAAGGCATTGCCAATGACAAACAATATCATGTGCACTTGAAAAGGTTGCGCCTGGTAATCACAAGAGTGTGAACGTGTTGAACCCTGGCAGCTCGCTAAGCTGTTTGCTCCCTTCCCACTTTTGGCTCGAGACTTTAAGCTTCTTGCTCCTGTGTCTCCAGGTGTTCTTCCAAAAGTGGAAACCCAGTCCAACCGAGAGCGGCCCTCTCTGCTCCATCCGAGCTACAAACCGGCCTGAAAGCCGCCACCTGGACTACGGGCTCCACTGTGCCGACGGCCGTCATTTCGAAAGAATACCTCAAACCAGTCACTCCCAAAACCGAAAGGCCCTGATAGCGCTTCGGCCTTTCAGACCGAAAAAATCACAACAAACCGAGTATCCAAACTCAAAGCTGCAATTCGGCCACACTTGGCGTTAATGTTTGACCTGTTCACCCCTTCGATGTTGCAAACTGAGGTGAGCATGCTGGACGGCGTTCTTGTTCCGGCTCGTAAGCCATTTTACGCCAAACCATCTAGCCAGAATACCGGGGTCAGTAGTCCGAACGCTGCTAGCTTGCGGACGGTACGTCATAAAGAAGGTTGAAGTACATTCCGGCTGTTTTTGTTGCCCAGTTGCCAGCCCCCTTATCGTTTTCCAACGCTTCGTGTTTCTTTCTCATCATTCTCAATTGCAAGTATTGCGGGAATACAAAAGGCAAAGGAAGGAAGAAAGCAAGGAAGGAAGAAAACAGGGAGGATTGGAGGGGGCAGGGAGGAAGAAAGGAAGGAAGCCGGGAGAAGGGAAGAAGGCGAGACAAGGGAGGCAAAAGGCAATGAAGGACGGAAGCCAGAAGGAAGCAGGGAGAGACTCATCTTTTGGTACCTCTTGCCGCCCGGGTCTGACCAGTTCTCAGCATGTGGGACTGGGGCACCTGTTGGATACGAACTGGTCGTGGTTCCCATTGTACAGCAGGAAGTTGACGTGGATTGCCCTGCTCTGGGCACTTAGCCTTGAAGCCGGCAAACAACCGCGACATTCGACTCCACACTGCATCAAGCACGGTGCCACCCCTTTTCTTCCTATCGTCAACACTTCGGGGATCTGTTCCCGTTGAGCTATCTCTCCGTCTCTCTCTCTCTCGCTCTCTCTCTCTCTCTCTCTCTCTCTCTCTCTCTCTGCTTGACGCGATGATGCTATTTGCCAGGGCGTAGTAGCCACAGGGGGGATGGCTTGTCAAACGGCCAGTTTCGATCAAACCCTGCACAAAGGCTACAGACATCAAGCGGCTTGCAGTCTGGAACCAGTGCCTCCAACAGCACCTTTAACATCCTTGACCATTGTGATATATTAGCCAAAAAAAAAGAAGCAAGCCATAAACCTCCACATCAAGTGCAGTTACACAGGAACCCACTGTACACCCAGCAATCGGTAAGTTCAAGTTCAGTGGAAAGAGAAGGATTTCCCTCTTCCTAATCGCTCGTGGTACAGTGCGTGACTGCAAAACACCAATTGCTTAGCATTCACCTTGCTTTTAAACTTACGCCGATGTGCTTCTGCGAGTTTAGGCTTACACAGAGGTGGCTTACGCTCCGTCCCGAACCACCGCACTTCCCCAACACTTGCGCGGTCTTGCGACAAGTGCTCCTTTTGCCCCCCTATGACTTCCCCCTCAACCCAACTAGGCAACCCTGCTCGTTAAGAAAAAGGAGGAAAAATCGGTCAGATCGAAACACACTCGGACTCCTCACCACTCCTCGTCCTGCAAAAACTGCATGTCCTGCTGGAAGGCGGCCCGTACATCTGCCAAAGGCCTCAGAAGTTGGTCAGCACCGGAAAGACGGTTGATCAAGGCTGCCTTTCAAGACTGGCCTGGTGATTGCACTATTAGACTATCTCAATGCTTTTTTTGAAGCCTGCAAGAAACGGAACTGAAGGAATAGCCAGGCAAACGCAGGCCAGCCCTCGAAACTTCCAACAACTGTCGCTTTGACAAACACTTGATGTTCTCTGCAACCAGCCAAGATCATGGCAAGCTGGCATGGCACACAACAACGGGGATTGCAGCCCTTCATGCTGCTGACAATCCCAGTCAAGCAATCAGGCAAGCGCTCCAACCTGAAATTGGGTATGGATCCACCAATGGTGAAAGCTTGGCAAACACGCTCTCACGCCAAGCCGCGTCAAGCAACCAATCCACTCGTTTCAAAGCATAGTCGGGTGGCCTACTTTGTGTTTTGCCAGACCCGTATTGCCCTGGTGTCTGAGGTTTGCACGAATGCTGCAGGTCGTACTCGACACCTGAGACAAAAGCATCAAGACTCATTGGTCACCATTCCGCATACCAACCGACACGGCCCACTTGCATAGTCGAATCCAGGATGCCAAATCTGGAAGTACTAGCGAGAAAACTTGCTGTATGTTGGATCCGGATGACTCAGCACTAAATGTAGTTCAATTGATCTGCATGCCTTCAAGTGCTTGTGAGGATTGTGCCCTCAGCAAGCTGTGATCATGAAGCTCTGGCGAAACATCAAGCCCAACGATCAAGACCGCGCGGCGGGAAAAGTCACACGTCCGCAAATCCGACAACCAAAGTGACCTCTAAACAAACAATCACGGCGCAAGCACACTGCACATTGCACCAACTCATGTCGGACATGATCCAAATACCGCTGGCCAACACAGGTGGCACAAACTTTGGTGAGCCACTGCAGCCCGAGGTCCGACTCAAAATCATAGTGTGGACTGATTGAAAATGATTGTTTAAATGCCATTCATTCATCACTACGACTCTACGACTGTCAATACGCTGTTGCATTTCTTCATTGGCTGACTGAAGAGTTGATACGCCCTCTCTGCCTGCAGCTGATTGAATGCTCAAGCAGCTGTGCGCTCTGTGTGGGCCACCAAAGCTATCGGGCGTCAACACCCTGAGTCGAAAAATGAAACATGAGTGTGCTTCGTTGTCATTGCACGCAGTACGTGTCAAATCGAAACTATTTTGGGCATAGCTGGTGCAATGACAAATTCACAAAACGGCAACAGCCCCAAACGAAACTTCGAGTCGTAGCTGCACCCTGCAAGTTGCTCTCCTCGAGACCTCCGCGCAAGCTTCTCTGCGCAAAATATGTGTGCAAGTTCTCTGCGCCGATGGTTTACAAGTTCGCTCCGCAAGCTTCAATCGCAAGATCTGAATTGAATTTTCTCTGCACAAACTGTCTGTGCAAAATGTGTTGTCCCGCGAGTTTCTCTAGGCAAGCTCTCGGCGAATGTTTCTCTACGCAAGTGCTCTGTGCAATTTTTATCCGAGCAAGCTCTCCGTGCAAGGACTTCTCTGCAAGTTGTTTTCTGTAAGTTGTTGCACGCGTCGTTCTCAGCACCGGGTGTCGCTCGAGGAAAATGCAGCGCAAAAAGCTCCACATCAACTGCGCTGATCCCCGCAAAGAGTCTCGCAAGCGAGTCAAACTGTCCCGCAAAGGGTCGTGCGCGGCCGGCAAAAGTAGCAACAAGTCCTTTTTGGCGCGTCGAACACACTGATCCTGTCAGCGGGTCGCGCGCTTGCGCTTGTTTAAACAACTTGGCCGGTCGCGCCGCGCCCCGCAAAAAGTCGTGAAAGTCCCGCTGCTACACCTAGACCACGCCGACGCTGACCCTCACAAATCCTGTCGTTTTCACACGGCCAGCTTGGCTTAGAAGATTAAGTTCAGGTCCACATTTCTTGCGTAAAATATCTCGCACAAGTTTGCAAGATGTATCACGCGATCTGTCTCGCACCAGTTCACTCACGCAACTTCGCGAGTTTTGACTCTCGCGCAACTTGCTGCGAACGCTCTCGCGTGCGATTTGCTGCACAAGTTCTTTCGAGCAATTTGCTGCGCAATCTCTCCCTCGCGCTTCTTGCTTGCACTTCACGCTTTCGTGCTACTTCCTGAGCGTGTGCTCTGACGCTACTTGCCCTTCGCGCATTCAGCTCTGCATGTCTCTTGCGCTACCTGCTCCGCGAGTGCTCTCGCGCTACCTGCTCTGCAAGTGCGCTACTTGCTCTGCAGCATGAGCTTTTGCGCGTCTTGCTCTGCATGTACTCTCGCGCTACTTGCTCTTCTCGCGCAACTTGCTCTGCCTGTGCTCTGGTGCTACCTGCGCTGCGTGCGCTCTCTTATCTTGCTCTGCGCGTGCTCTCGCATCTTGCTCTGCACATACTCTCGTGCTACTTGTTGTGCGCAACTTGTTCTGCACCTGCTCTGGCGCATCTTGCTCTGCATGTCGTGCTACTTGGCTGCGCGAACAAGTTGCCGATTTTACCGGAAGAACCCTTCGCAATGCTTTCGGAAAAAGGGTCAACAAGGAGCGAATGATGAGAAGCTCAAGTTCTCCTCTCCTCCCGACATTGTTTGGGCCCCAGGCTAAAACCGGAGCCGTCGAAATCGTAGAAGTACCCAGGGAACGAGGCCTCACCTGCCGATGATACATCGTTCCTCTTGAGAACTACAAGGCAATAATCAAGCTTGCGAGTACGTGACCTGAAATCAACTGTGAAGAGGAGTGGAGACCGCCAGCGTTCCTTAAGCGTGAAAGCTTGTTTTGGGCTGTCTGCTTCACTGGTCTTGCAAGCACCGCTCATGTTGAGATATACTAACGGGCTGAGGAGCCCCGTTGAATCCTGCACAGATGTGGCCGACAGGCAAGGATCACAGCCTAGCGTAAGAGTCCAAAGTGCCTGGGTGCCGATTCTTCTAAACCTCCTGCTAGCTTCTCCCAAACGCTGTGAAAATCCAAACAAGGTTGCTCCTAAGGTAGGTTGCGAAGCACTTCCTTTGGGAGTGCGCATCTACATCCTGCCAAACGGCCACGCAAGCTCCATCCACTCACTGGCCGCCAGCCTGCTGCGGATGTGCTCCTCGCATCGCCATACGTCCCCGGGGTGCTGCCCGTGTAACGACCATCCTGAGCCAGGTGATCTACACATATCCAGAAGTGTGCCTGAATTTGCCCACGTTTCTACTTGGCAAGAACTCCCAAACGGACGAGTCCCTTGTGACCTCAAACACCGGTGCTAGCTAATATAGCTGCCATGCAGCTGTTACTACAAGTCAGCCACGTGCTATATCTTGCAGAGAGCATGATAACTGCAGGACAAACATTGCATTTGCAGCATCAACACCCTCTCAGTGCCGTTACAACAATGAACGACACGTACCACTCGTACAGCATATCTTCAGAGAGCCTATGGTGAGCTCTCGCCACCAGGACTTTCGGACCAACCCAACAAGTGCTCATCCTCAGACTCTATCAACTTCTTAGGCCAACCATGAAGCCGCAAAAGATTCAGCATTGGAGCACGAGTGTGCGGAACCCAGAGATGGACTGCACTCGTCTTGATCTGCCGCAGTTAGCCCACATCTCCCCAAGCCGGCCGGACTAACTCTTCGCTGGGACCCTTGCCAGACCTGCTAGCCCCGCAAAGTAGGCCGTGATGTTTTCTCTCGTTGCGGTGTCTGCCTCGGCCGAAGGAGGCTGCAATGAACGGAGGAACGTGGGACAAGGGGCAAGGCGCCGATCCCTCTTGAGTTACCATTCATCAACCCAAAATGGTTCGAACAAACCTGCGTGCATCCACATCTATTGTCAATGATACCTGTCACTGGTCCTGGCGCCCCAGCAAAAGAAGAGGTGAATCCAGGCTTGTTCAATCTTGTTCATTCACATTGCTGTTGTCTCGTTGCGTCCGTTTCCCAGCCATGTTAAGCTTGCCAGAAAGACAAACACCTGCAGCGCTGAAGGTAAATGACAACGCTCCTAAGGGTCCTATGCTCGAGGTCCAAATTGTTGATTGCCTGGGTACGTGCGTGGGTCCAAACTATGCCTATTGGATACGTCTTGTGACCAGCAAGAAGAACTTGGAAAGCCACGGATTTGCCCCAAATGATGCCTAAAGCAAACTATTCCCCCTCTCTACAGTTGCGGGGGTCCTTACCTTTGACTTGTTCACGCATGGCTCGCACATTTGCACCGCGATTTGGGCATGTATCGCCTGACTGGGGCCACTGGCAGTCAAGTCCCAGTAGCGTGTCGCCAGGCCTCGGCACATTCTCAGCATGTGCGCCAGCACCAGGTACGAGGGCGGCAGCGCTTGGACGCAACATTTGCCGCCCAATGACAAGATCCCAGTTGGGTGTGTGTGTGTGTGTCAGAATAGCGGGAACCTTGGTTTCTGTTGAAGCCAATCGGAAAAGGGTACCCTTGCAAAAACACACCCCGTGCTCAGGCGACAGCAGTCCACGTTCGTGGGCAGCGGGCTCCAGCTCCCCTGCCGACTGAATTACTTGCTGGTTCGGTAGGGGATCAACAAGGGTGTTGGGAACGAACCGATGGATGAAGGAAATCACAAGGGATGCTTCAAAGGCCATTCCCTCATTGACTGCCTATCGAATCAGCAAGATTCCTGTGTAGCTGCAACCCCTAACACCCCAAACGGTGGGAACCAGCCAACCTCATTCCTCAGTTGCCCAGTGATGATGAGGAGAATCGCAAAATAGATCTTCTCAAAAGAAAACCCGAACACCTGAGTCAGTAAGTTCCTGCTTGTCTAAGACCCGAAGCACACTTCAAAGGTGCTCCAAGCTGGTTCAAAAACATTGTGTCTGGTCTCGAGACCTCACATTCGAAATAAAGTCCCTGAAAGCAAAATTCAAAACAACGCACTTTTAAGCAAGGCTCCTATGTTCATCCAAGGGATTCCGTCGTCTTCTCAAGATCACATTTTGAGCTCGCGGTGTCCCCCCTAGGCGGCCGAGAGGAATGAAACCAACAATCGCGAGTCTGAGGACGCCGTTTCCGGGTTTACTTCCAAGGAATCAACGAACATATTTGCCTCACTGGCCATCGCCTTTCTCCGCGGGCTGTCATAAGATGTCGTAAGTAAATAGGTTCCCGGCAGCGGATCACATTTTGGGCCGTACAATCCTAGCCCTGTCCAATGCCATGATCGGCACATCAAGTGTGAATGGCCAGCTCAGCCTTCCTTGACGCACGCCCCATTCCTGCAGGACCCAAGTATGACACTTAGGACTAATCCAAAGGCCGTAGCTAATTACCACCAAAAAGGAGGCCCACTCCTGATTGCAGTCCTACGGACTCCGAATTTGCAAAAAAAACACCCAACGGACAGGTTGTAGGGTCAGCGGCGCAGGTTCTCGCTCCTGCGGGCACTGCGCGGCGCTGGCGGGCTGCACATCCTGCAGCAACACCTGGAGAGAGGATGGGCTCTGGTTGATCTTCATCAAGGGACCCCAAAATGGGATACCACAAACACACAACACCCAAACATCCCTCCAGTTTTGGTCTGTTTCAGTCTTTGTCCTAGGGGTGTATCTGGCGGGGAATGCGCTGGGACCAAAGGGGTGGTGTAGTGTGTGTGTGTGTGTGTGACCCCACCTCTTGATAAACCAACACCTGCAAGGATTAACCCTGCTTTTAAGTAAGTGGGGCACCATGATTTCAGGTGGCTAACAATCTTAAACCAAACCCAGCAAAGCCACGGGGAAATAGACAAACGCAGTTCCGTAAAATTGATCCCATATGTGACACTGCAAACCGATGTCACGAGTTCCCGATCTTGGCTGCATTGATCATGATCCTTTGGACTTTAAAGTGTTCGCTCGCAGAAACCGTGCTTCAAAAGAAACGGTTTTTGCGTGTATCAACAACGAGCGCCATATGTTCATTGCGAAATCCTCGGTCGGCATGGGCAAAGGGTGATCGCCACCGCCACCGCGGGACCTTCATTCAAAGCTTACCTCGCCTCCCACAGAAGCGCGCATGTGCCTGGTTGCTTATCAAGTTGGACTGCGCCCAGTGCTTGTGTAACCGCACATTCTGATAGCGGACAGGGAGCCTACAAATGCAAAGGCGCACAAATCAACCACCCAGCGTCAGGAACATCGAGTCTTGACTAAAACACGCTGCTCGTACACATCTCATACTATTGGACGGGTGGGCTCTCACGTTCATGAACACGTTGAAGATTCTTGGTGGAAAAAAATAAGGGCTTCACCAGGTACCTTCTCGCACGCCTAAGCAACGCCTTCTTGCCCCTGAATCCGGGCAAAACTGCCTGCATGTAGCCAACCGGCGCATTGTAGCTCCGCAAGGCCGAGGCAGGAATGAAAAGCTGGTCCTCAGTTGCAGTGCAATCCTGTCCTAACCTTTCCACCTGACTTTATCTCAATACATCGCATAGGCTTCATGATGAAATGAAACGCAGCTCTACTGATCTGTATGGCCCGAAACAAGAATTGGCCTTTCGCACAATTAGCAAATGGCACACCCAAGTTGCAGAACAACCAAACCTAGTTTAACAATCAAACATCGTCGCACTTTCCTGCCTCTTTTTGCCGAGGCCTAGGCAGAAACGGTGTCCCCAAGCCTTGGCACAGGTACAAGGCTGGGAGCCGTCGGAAACGGCTGGAAGCCAAACAAACGAGACGCGACCAAACCTGGAACGCCTGTCAGTGAATACTTGGTGTGTTTCTGGAGGGGGCGGTTTGCAAGGCAAATCAAAGGATAACCAAGTGTAGGCCCCCCCTTTCCTATGATGTGTACGCCCGCTGCTCAAACATCGCACGCAGACGTATGGAGTTGTTGTGTACGTTACGGTTTTCCCACAACCTCTGACTCCTCATGGGGTCAGGACCACGCATTTCCTGTGAAGTGATATCTTCGGCAAGGTTCATCCACGGTCAACATCTCATGGATATGGGCAACATGTTCTGCTGCCTTTCAATGCGATCGCATAAATGTCTCGCGTCGACAAAGAAGTCCAATTCAATGACCAATTCAATGAGGGCATTTCGTGCTTCGAGAAGTACCAATCCAAAGGGTAACGCAATTCAAGAATAGCATCATCATCAGCCATGCTACGTCATGCATTCTCATCAAAGGAATCGCTGCTGGAATTCAGAACTGCGTCTAGGTGTCCTTTTGGAGCTATGGCACTGGCAAACGAGCAGGACCAAACTAAAACAAGTGAAATTTGTCTACTTTCAAACACAGTGTCCCGAGTCCCAAAAGGGACACCTTTGGGCATACAGATTTGACACACTTGTCCCAGATTTGACTCGAATCAAATCTGACGTCATTCCCCCATGCTCCACCTCTCACGCGAGACCAAGAAAGGCTCTTCTCCATCACACAGGTTCAAGCATTGTAATGCTGGAGAGCGACGACCAAACAATGGGCGGCTTCCTGTTTCACGCTAAGTCGCTTACATGGCTGCGTTGAAAAATGTTACCGAATGAGCTCTTCAAATATCATGCTGAGGGCTCCCGACCACAGCAACGTTGCTTGATTGGGAAAATGTAAGACTGCGGGCTGAACTGAGTGCAAGGCCCAAGTCCCAGCAATGACAGGCCAGTTCTTAATGAAACCAAATCTAGGCCAATACTAAACCCAAAACGCAGTAACAATGAGAAACAAAGCTACCCTTTTTCCGAATTCGTTGGGAAATCACCTCCCGCAAGGAAAAAAACGTGCAACGGTGCAGGTGTGGGAAACAGTATTCGCAGGAAAACTACTTTGGCTGGCCAAATACTGACCCCCCATTAGTTTTAGGGACGTTCGAAAATTCCAGTGACACGTAATTACGCCGTTTCCTGGGGAGTCCCGGCCAAAGCCACACCTGGCTCTGCGTCCGGATATCATCAAATCCGACCCCTCGGCCATCTCCTGGCACGGCGCAGGTCACTCTTGGGACCTGGACGTGGCGCCGGCAAAACGACACCGACGAAATCCTGCACGACCTAAGAAACCCTCAGATGATGACTCCCCCTGTAAATACAACAAAGAATGGTGTCCCTGCAGGATTTCGTCCACCCACAGTACTGAGGGCACTACAGCAAAATGGATTTAACAAGAAAAACACACAAACCACGATACACAGAAGGCTTCGGCATCAGCTGACAAGACTACATCACGCAAAGGATGTCCAAGCTTGAGAAGCCATGTTGGTCATTCCTACTTGTCTCTTGCTTCTATCGTCATAGATCGCAACAATATGTCACGTGTCTCCAACATCTTGGCCTAGATTTAGGTCCGTACACAGTGAAGCGGTGAGGCGGCAGCATCTGTGAAGCGTGGTTATCTTCGAACCTGCAGCAAAATAATGGTTCATTTCCCCGGGGTCACTGTGCAAATTTGCGTAAACTGCCCGAGCCTGTGAGTTCCTGAAATGTCCGCCAAGTCACCGCAACATCAATAGCTCAGGCTATGAACCTGAAATGGCAAAAGTTTAGTGACATTGTTCTAGACAAACATTTCTGAGCAAATTTGAACTGACCTGTAGCCAGGTAGGTTCATGCGCAAATCTCAGCAACCCAGACAAACAAAGCTCAAGCACAAGTACACAGATTTGGCGATGCAAAACAAACCATGGTTGGTCTTCCCTCACAAGTGAAAGTTTCTGTTGGGAGGAACCCAGCAAATTTGTGACAATTCCCTTTCTGGGCAAGCCAAGGTGAAGGGTTTGCGACGTCTACTTTCACCCACCTGTAAGTCAAATACGCAATTTGTGCGCTCCTTGTGCGGGAGGCCAGCTACCGGTGCAGCTCCAAGCACATGTACTTTCTTTTTACCCTTCTGACTCTCAGAGTGGCAAGCCCAACGTGCAAGCCATTTCCTTTGATGAACACAGGCCAAACGCCACACTGCAACATCCAGTTTGCACTGTCGCTTTGCGCTATGAACTCCGCTGTTGTTGAAGAAACCATTGGTTTCTGCCCGGGCGCGAGCGCCCAGGAACCCGTCCTTCCGTCATGAGCTGCACGATGCCTGGCAAACAAGCGAACAAGCAATGGCCAGCCTGGACAGCCTGCCTCATGAGGTACACTCAGAAAATTGGTGGACTGATTGATTAGAACCAAACGGGTGTGTCTTTTTTCTCAGGGGACCCCACAAATGGTGGGTTTCCTTTTGATTTCCGTTTTAAAACAATCTAAAAGGGAGTACCCTCAAAAACAAGACTCACCCAAACTGAAGCAAGCGGAGTCCATCCGTCAACCAACTTGGGCCTCGGACAGCCCTGTGCAACCCCAAAGTGATGCGCCCACGCACAGCCACGCATGAGCAACAGCGTCGTGCCATTTTCTTGGCACATCGCAAGCGGCTGGTCCAAATCTCTGAAACAACTTCCATGTCCATAAGGGCAATGCTAACAACCAAATCAGTGATGTTCAGTATTGACAAAGCATGAAATTTAAGGTCTCTGGGTCCAATCCCCAGGCAACAAAACAAAACTATATAAAACTATGGTTGTCGCGTGACCGAGCGTCAGTCCATATAGTTTCCGTGGGCCAAATGAGCGACTGACAAAACAGTGCTCGTAAAACAAAAATTGCGTTCGGGAAAGCTGGATATTGACTTTGGTCCTTTGTCATATTGGTTTTACTGTGTTTTCAATCAAGTTGTAGGAAATTCAAAAAAAATCTGAATGGTCACACGGCACAAATTGTGTACTCACTTCACTGGCGTACGCGGTTGGTACAAGGAGGTGCGTCCGGTTGTCTTATGCCTCTATGCGTCTGGAGGCTTTTGAATCTCGCAGTATGCTTGCGGTTGCCCGAGCTGAAGCCTGGCATCCTTGGCAACTGGTTGCAATGGCGCCATTCCGAGTGAAGCTTTGGCATTTGGAAGCCACGAAAGCCAATGGCTGGCCCCGGGCGGCTGGGGGAATGTCAAAATGGGATGGTTCAAAAACAGAAAAACCACAAGTAAGAAGTGCTGTTTCATAAAGACGTCAAATGAGTGATGCCCAGAAATGACGTTCGGTCTTACTGGCTGTGGCTTCTGCGCAGCCTTCCGCGGGGCGCGCAAAGTGCGCCGTAGCAAATCCTCACAACATGCAACTCAGTTCAGCCGCCCGGCCTTCTCGAACATTGAAGCTCTTATCGGGCGGTATGACCATATAGATATCCCAAATGGTCATGATAAAGACCGCCAAGTAGACCTGAGCTTCAGGGCGACCTTTGGTTCCAGCAGCACGCTTATACAAGGTTTACGTAGGCCTTACTATAATCCTTGTCACGGCTAGTAGAACCATCTACTGAAATGGCCGCGCTGCTCAAATGAGTTGCGCCTTCATGGCAACAGTTTCCTCCTGGTGTGGGTTTCAAACCATCCCCCCCACACAAAAAACAAACGGAAACATGCTGACACATTCGCAAATAACCCTGCCCTCAGATTGTACTGTTCAGCGGAGTGTGCAACTAGATGTATGATATATATATATATATATATATATTATTGTTATACATAATGTATGCGTGCGGCCGACGTTGTTTCACTCAAACAACACGGTTCCCTGGTTGCCGTCAATACGGAACACTCCTTCCGAAGCAGGACAACTTCACACTTAGCGAGAGTCTGATTGACCTTGGGGTGTTGAGGGCAAAAACAACAAGCTAATCGTCGTGGCGCATGACCAATGAAAACCTCTTTAGCCTTTGCCCATATGCAAATAGCACCCCTCGGTTGGATGTTTGGTATGAACTCCGAACTCTTCCACAATTCTTTCTTCCCGCATGTTGTTCATCGCGTCGCTTTCGGCACGATGGACCTGGATCTGTCTCGTCGCGTCCAACAACTAGGCTTGAACCACCCCTGAATTGAGACATGGTAGTTGGTCCACGTCTCATATTCCGCCGTGAATCAGAATGCAATTTCGCGGGCAGCTGCAAACACTGATGTTTCAGCACTGTACCCATGCCAGCCAAATGGTAAGAACACCCGCTCACGCGCACCCGCTCAGCACTGCACGCATGCCAGCCAAATGGTAAGAACACCCGCTCACGCGCACCCGCTCAGCACTGCACGCATGCCAGCCAAATGGTAAGAACACCCGCTCACGCGCACCCGCTCAGCACTGCACGCATGCCAGCCAAATGGTAAGAACACCCGCTCACGCGCACCCGCTCAGCACTGCACGCATGCCAGCCAAATGGTAAGAACACCCGCTCATGCGCACCTGCTCAGCACTGTACCCATGCCAGCCAACTGGTAATAACACCCACTCACGCACACCCGCTCAGCACTGTACCCATGCCGGCCAGGTGGTAAGAACACCCACTCACCAGTGGAACTGGCGGCAAACGGACGCTCAAAGCCCTAGCGAGTTTTTGCTTGCCCTGGAGGCTCTGCTGTGACAAGGAACGCGGTCGATGTTTGATTGGGAAAAAGCAGTGCGTCGTGCCGGTTTGAAAGTAGTTCACGAGGAACAAAACCCTTGTTTTCATTGGGAAAAACCAACGAAAATAGTAACCCTGCTTGGGGTGGACGTGTGAAAAGCACGAAATCACTTATTAATTAAGGCTTCGGTTCATTGGGATTTCCCATAGGAAAACACGTGTTATTCTTGACTTGTGCTACTGAAATCCTGCTTTGACTCACGGCGGAATATGAGCCGTGTTCCTAGGTAGTTCCCCTTAAAATCCAAAAAAAAACACAATTTGGCCCCCAAAAGTCGCAGTTTCCCGCTAAAACCCCTTTAAAACAGGGTCCCCTTTAGGACCCGCCACCCAAACCGCCGATTCAGCGGGGGCTTTGCGGCTCGCTTCGTTTGGGCCCCCTGCGCACAGGTTCCGCAGCTTCAAGCGCTGGAGGTGCCTCACTGAGACTCTGGCCAACGTTCCCCTGCGGTTGGACGAAATCCTCTTAGGCACCACCTGAGAAACCCTGGAATCCTTTTTTCCTTTGTAAGACCCAACCAACAATGGTGTCCTATGGCTTCAAAGTGGTGCGAAATGGATTTCGTCCATCCACAGCAGGAATCCTCAAGGGTGATGACCATCCCTACCAAAAGAACTGCTTCGATGGCACATGTGGGTCTGTCTCAAAACCAGTGATCAGTGTCCATTTAAGGTGTCCCAAGAGGGAAGCCTCCACTAGGGGTTCCCCCATCTTGACAGGCACAGACGTTTCTGAGCGCCCAAAACCCATTGACGTTTGGTTCCACAGAGCTCCAGCCCCAGAGAACAACCTGCTATGAGCAGTCGGGGAAGTGGGCACTGCCGGGGGGTTGTCTTTTTGGGGTACCCGGCCAGGGTACCCTCTTTTTCTGGTGGAATTGGAAGGAACAAAGGAGACACACAAACACACACCTGCGCATGCCCAATGAAGACCAAAACCGAGCTCCGCGTCCGTGGATAGCGTTCATTCAAGCTTGTTCCCAGCCGCCTTTGAAGCAATGATGTAAATTGCGGGTTTCTTGTTCGACAGCTTGAGCCTGGAGGGTGTGAACAGCTTGACTCCCATTCGGTGATGGCGCATTGGAGCCATCAGGACCTGAGGCTGCCAACTCCACCAGTCAACTTCCTGGTCTAGGCACCAGGCTGGACTACTTTCTGATCTCTCTGAGTCATGTACCTCGGCGCAGCCAAAGATCTCAAGTATGAGGAACCAAGCAAAGCTGAGCCCAAGCCTCTCTTTCCTTCATCTATACATTTACCAGCAAGGCAACTCCTCTAGATCCCAATTGTATGCCAGCCAGCTGGTATTGTTCATCAAGGCAACGACGCAAAATGATCGAAACAAGCTTCAAACTTCGATGTTCAAGCCAAACGGACCAAACTGACAGACCTGTACAAACATCAAGTCACCAACAAGTCCCCACCTCAAAACTTCACACCAAACTTCAAACCCGTATCTCAATACTCCTACCAAACTTCTCCTTTACACACAAACAAAAAACAAAACTCCCGGAAGCCACAGGTTCTCCGGACCTCCCCCCCCCCGCCCAGCCGAGCCATGGCCCTGGCTGAAACAGCCCCGGCAGTGCCGCCATCTGCTCCGCCAGCTCGGCGCCTCAGAACTTCCCTTTTTTGCGTGGCGTGTTTCTCGAAATCGCCGCATGTTTCCCCGAAAATGGCCCCGAAGAAGGTTGCCGTCGGTTTCTTTCAAAACGAAAACAACAAAAGGTCCGGCATTTTGAGAAACACTCACAAGGGGTTGCAAGGGTTTGCACTGGTGGCTTTGAGGTGGTCTAATCCGGTCGACGAAACTGCAAACATCAATATTACCGGGCCCGCACAACCTTTTGAATACGTGGTTTGTATTGTGATTTTTGAGGTGTTCCGGGGGTGGTTCCCCATCTCTGTAAGAACCCGCGGTTCAAATCCCCAAGCCACCTAAAGGAAAAAGGTAAACATAACAGCCAAACCTGAAAATGAGGGAAACACCAGTATATAGACTGAAGGACACCAGTAAAAAATAAGGGCAACCTGTGTAAGGGAAAGCCAGCAAAAAAAGAGCGATGCGGCATTTATTAGGGGGAATCCTGTGAAGCGAGCAGCAAGGGTCTCCTAAAAGCAAAGGCAAAACATCCAGGGCAAGTTGGAGGCAAAGCTGGTGTCGTTGAATGAGGTAAAATACAGCATCCTGCACTGGTGCGTGTTGCAGGTCTGGCCTTTTGTCTTGTGTGACAGCGCCGCGAGGCAAAAGCAATCTGACCTGTGGGAAGTATGGGGGAATTGGGCAACATGAAGGGGATTGGAAGTCTTTCTGCGGGGTTTGATCCATTGTGTTTCGGAAAACATGCAAGGGGTCTCGTATGTTTGTGTGAGTGATGTTCGGCCACACATGAAATTGCACCTGCTGGTTCACAATTTGATTTTGGCGGGGAGGCGCCTCGACCACGCCCCCTCTCCAAACAGCAAAAATCTCAAAGTTTGCACGTGGTGTGAAGCAAGCACATGCCAGAGAAACACATAATCGTTCCAAAAGTTCGTCTCTACTTTTCGGGGACTGGGACTCAACATGTAGGCGTAGCCCAAATACGGGGCCGTCCCATTGACTGACCTCAATATGACCAGCAACTTGACAAGCAACAACCAAGCACTACGCAAACAATATCAGTCTTTCAGCCCGTGAACATTTCCATAATTGCGTACTTGTGCATGAAAACACTTCATACTGTTGGAAGTTTGGCTTCCCCCTCACACTGTTGGCTTGTTCGCTGTCAATTTCATCTACCCTTGTGAAAGGCCCTTGTGAAATCACCAGTTCCAACTGGCCAGAACCAAGGCCAAGGCCGTGGGAGGGCGAGAAACGGTTCGTTCAGGAACCCAAGTGAAACAAAACATTTGAGCTTTAGTAAAGGCGGCGAGGCTCGGGGATGCCAGTGACCCTGGAAGCCAAAAATATGGACCCCCCCCAAAAAATAAATAAACAGTTGTACAACAATTTGCAAGTGGAAACCAAGGCACAAAAGGGTGCACCAGCGTACCTGGGAAGCACCTGAACCGCTTGTGGCCCAGGCTGGGCCCCGCTTTCGCGTTCTCGCCCTTGGCGCTCTCGGACTGCTTGGCGCCGGTGCGCCGGGCTTTTCGTCCTGATCTCCGAAAAAATCGAGGTGCTCTGGCTGTGAATTTTCATAGGGAACCACCTGAAAAGGGGTTGGTGGACATGAGACGTCCACCTGAATGAGGTTCAAAGGGTCCCAATCAACATTCATACCCACAGCTGGGTCCATTAAAACGACCTCCTTCACACACAAAGACAAACATTTGCATTATCTGTAGCTCAAGTAGATCGACCTTTCTAGCTTGATGCCACAATCATCTGAGATCTGCTGCAGGAAATAATTTCAGCTTCGTCAACCAGCCAAACAGCTAAGTGCAACACATATCTTTAGAATGCTGGAGATAAAGGCTCGACACCAGTATCAACATGTTCACCTCCAGCCGAATCCAAGTAACTAAGTAGCAGAAAAATGTCAAACAAACACACATGTTGACACAAGAGTAAAAACTTGAGACCAACATGAACCTGCCAATGTTGACCCCAAATTAAGAAACCCATCCTATTAATGTGCGTGTAAAGGGACCCCCCGGACCCCTATTAATCAACCAGGGGTTCATTGATCCGGGGTTGACAATTTGCATAGTCAGTTCAGCCGCACCCGACATCTCCGCCCGCCTGCTCTTGGCAAAATGTGCAAGAGCTCTCTCTCCATAAGGCTAGCGTTTTTCCTGAGCACGAGTATCAGAGATACTTGCTTTCTGCAAGGAAATGAAGACCAGAATTTGGTGCCCTGCACCCAAACCCCTTCTAAGTCTTGGTGATTACAGGGGGGTGCCCTTAGTTTTCCCAAAAGGGTGGGGGGGTCAAACACAAACCTGGCGCGGTCTGAAAACTCAGCGTGCGGCGGTGTCTTCTGCACCAAGCTAAAATGTGCATCCTCATTCTCTCTGAAGCAGCTCTGTATCCTGGCTTAACACAGGCACTAATCATCTCTAGCAAGAATGATTCTTGCCTGGGCCCGTGGGACAAGGTTACAACTGGTTTAGTATTTCTGCTGCTAGGCTAAATCAAAAGCCGACAGCGGCTCTGTCTCTCAGTTTACAAGCTGATTCGTTTCATGTGGCTAACCACAAACAAAGAGGCACAAACCACTCAAACGGATTTCTGATACACAATGTTTGCCAATTCACTCTGTTGAGTTTGGATGACATGGGGCCGGACCAGCAAAACCAAGAAGCGATTTAAGCCGGACATCCTTTCTGATTCACAAGGTGGCAGGTGGCAACAATCAAGCTAGCTTCAAGCCTCTAATTCTTCCTTGTATCAAACACTTGGGGACAAACATGATGAGTCCGGACTGGTTGTCCAATTCGGAATACGTTCCAAAGCCTCTCAGGGGTTTCCTCAAGGCCCTTCGCCCTTCAAGGGCCCCCATCATCAGCTGAACTCGCTCGGCTCGCGTAAGCTCGTCGTGGACTTTGGCGTTGCTCATCGTCTTGAGGATGAACTCCACTTCCGACAAACCCCAGTACCTGGGTACGGGGAATTTGGGTGCGCCACGCCTTGTCCCCCAAGCTACTCGTCTTAATTTGTCATTTGCGCCTATGGCCTGCAGCGATCGTCCCTTGTCCAAAGATCTCGAGATAAGAAGTAGCGGGGAAACGTAGCAAGATCACCTAGTGGGCCAGATTGGGCAAACAGGATCCGAGCAAATCCAAGGCCCGGATCCTTCCTCAATACATAGACAAGGAATCAAAGGAATGACGCAAATCTTCTGAAACCCTCCCGAACCCGCTTTGTGAGGTCGCCGCGATTTGCCCTGGCACATGTTAGGTTGTACAACTTGCATACAAACAAATAGGGTTGGTCCAATGCTGATTCGCGACAGGGTTCAGCGTCATGCCCGACCATTTTCGCACCCCCTTATTTGGAAAGCCGCCCCCGCTTGCCCCTCAAGCCATTCGCGAACTCATCCGGGCCCCAGGCAGGCATGCATCTTCCCGCAGCTTTTTTGTCTTCATCCCCTTGTCCTGGCTCGCTGAAAGCGCACCAAACACAAGACGGGCAAAACACGGCAGGGGCGGGGGGAACTTGCCCTCACAATGCAGTTTCGAAAGGACGCGACATGGTGTAAATTTGGATTGGGGACCCTTTGGTGGACATCAACCACGTAGAGATTTGCAACCACCTACTATGGTTGGAGGTAAATATTGCCTATTGAAATACATAACCATGGTTGCCTGCGTTGACAAGGTGCCAATAGGCTGCCTAGCCCCGGCCCCATGACCCAAACTGGTTGCGTGTGTGCCAGTGTCTGCATCTTTGGCAAGAGACGGAGGACGATCCGGAGGGATCCATGCGAGAGACATCCCTGACAAATGTCTCTCGTTACAACCCTCGCCCTAGAACCATCAAGCCCTTTGCAAACCCGTGCCAGGGAGGCAACCCGAAAGCTCAGGTTGTATTTCAGCTCCGAGTTGGGGATGCAGTAGGTGACCAGCACCGTGTCGATGTATTTGCCTCGAGAGCATGGCAAATGCCCAGCTAGTGTGGAGTCTCGCAAAAGCCTCTTGGACAGCCAAATTGCGCAATGGAGGCCAAAGGAAAAAACACTTTGTTCGTCCGTTCTCAGGGGCGAGCCAGCTGGAAAAACAACGAACACGGATCGCAAATAAATGCCACTACACATCTGGGCAGCTTTCGGCACCTCCTGCTACTTTGCGACCCAGCAGGAAACCCTGAGAATCTTTCGGCCCCCGGAGCGCTCTCACGAAGGGCTTCTAGAACCATTCTCTAACTTGCATCATATCTGTACAGCACCCTTGAAACCGAGCGGGTCGCTGGTCACTGAATTTGCCGGACTGAAGACTGTGCAAGAAAACAGCGGGCATGTCTCCTAATTGAAGTCTTGAATGAAGCCTCTGACTGAAGGGTGTCGAGCACACATTAGGAAAATGACAGATCAGCTTTGAATCACCAGCAACAATGCAAAGGGGGTTACCCATCAGCATCAAAAGAAGAAGAAAAAAGAAAAAGAAAAAACAAGCCAAGTGGCAAAATGATTTCACTCACGCAAGCTGCAGAATGCCTGTCAACCTCAGCTGTCCTCATTTCTTATTCCACGATTAAACAAAAAGGTAGCATCTGCTGGCCTCAGAGTGCCAGTTGCACAAAAAACAAATCAATTGCAATCCATAAAAGGCAAAGGGTCTCTCAAGCCGGGAACCTCGAGCATGACCACTATTCATCCTGACCCCCATCCTGGTGTCCTCTTGGGCTTCAGGAATCCCACCCGAAGCTTGCCTGCCCGCTGAAATCATGCCAAGCTGCTCTCCATCGCCTGCTCTTCCGCCGGCCTGGGGCCGAAGCGATCCGAGGAACAATTCTACAGCAACAGCCAATCAACATCTTGCCATAGGGCAGAATCACGTTCCCGGCGTTGCAAACCCGGCCTAGAAACCAAACACATCGATGGCTTCCTGGCGATTTCCCCGCGAATCAACAACTGCAACGCACCCCGACACGGCTTGGCGCCCGGCTTCTCGACCATGAGCTCCACCTCGTCGTAGACGCGGATGCCAAGCCTGAGGCGGCCGGTGTGTCCTTTTTGAAGGCACTTCTTTGTTATGGTTTTTGAAGGAGAAACCAAGGGAAAACCACCATTGTGGAGGTCCGCGAACAACAAAAACAATCATGTGATGTTGGTACCTCATGATCATAGAATTACGGCTTCTTTCCAAAGGGGGTCAGTAGAAGGGGTCTGTGCACTTCCATGTTTGGTGGGAGGATATGTGGAAGGTCAAAAGAGGACAACTAACAAAGGATAGCAACACAACTGCAAATACAGCAACGAGGAAAAATACTTAAAGGCGCAAAACATACCCGAAGGCCAAAACACATTGCCTTGTTCTGGCCTCAGGCAAAGCAATGCCGCTCCAAACAGCAGCGCTGCTGGAGCCATCTATTTCGCAACAATTTTAGCGGCGAAAATAATTCAAACGCAACCAAATCTGTCGGCATCTGTGAAGCATGCTGGGCCATGCTCTTGACATCAAACCAAGCGGATACCACCCATTGCGGAGTCCCTTAATTTTGAGACAAACGCTCAGAATCCTTGGGCTGCTGCTCGTTCTGCATGCTTCTGCGCTGTACCTGCCGCAGAAAGTGGTGGCGTTTGCTCACAAATCTGGGAGTCAAACAGGTCCTGACGTGTGTTTTTTGACGTGCCTTTCAGATTTTCTCTTGGGAAGATTGCACATTCTGGACTATTTACCCAGCCAATAATTGAAGCAAGGAATCAAAGAGTATCTTTTCCATGAACGTTCTCTGATGTCAGAGATCAGTCTTGGGGAGGTGGCACTCGTCTCCAAATGCGGGCGGGGGGTGTGGAGTGATGATTGCGGCTTGCGGGCGAATCTCTCAACGCAATACAGCAGAAGCCATAAGGATCTGTCGGCGCCCTCCCGGGCCAGGTCATCGTGCAGCCAGAGTGCGACGCTGGGACATGTTCTGGGAGCTTTGCCACACGCTGCAAATCGCCAGTGTTTTCTGCTCATGAATGGCATAATCGTTGCAATTCACCCAAAGTTCCCAGTCTCCATGCTCGTACTGCTGCTAATACATAAGTACATTGTGCAAAAGACCATCCTCCGTCTTGCGAACGGCCTGATCAGTTGAAGCGTTCTCCACCACCGAGCCAAACACACACACACACACACACACACACACACACACACACACACACACACACACACACACACACACACACACACACACACACACACACACACACACACACACACACACACACACACACACACACACACACACACACACACACACACACACACACACACACACACACACACACACACACACACACACACACACACACACACACACACACACACACACACACATACACACACATAAGGTACCTGCCTGACATGTCTCCTTGAAAAGCTGTTCAAAGCTAATGAAACATGGGACTCCTGTCAGAATGTTCCTCAATGCAAACATATCCTGTTCAGCAATGCAGGTTTCCCAACCCGCTTAACCTTGTGTATAATCGCATTTCTTTTTGCCGGGGCCTTTTGGTTTCCCTTCAAACCAACCCAAAAAAATGAGATCCTGCAAAACACCCACCCACCATTTTCTGGAGGTCCATACCCTTCAGGACTCTTCAGTCCAGACTCCGCCTGCTCCTGCAGGGTGGTCTCCATGAACCTGCGCACGTTGGAGCTCTGCATCTCCAGCTCCTGAAAACATCCACGTCTGAAGCACGTGGGAAAGGGAAATACCTCTGCGCAACCATAAATTCCCTTTCAGTTTGGGGTACCAGAATGTAGGTTTTATAAGGTGTATAAGGGTGTACATATGCTGCACGGACCCTGCTCGCCCTTGATGTTGTAGCCATGAAAAAATGGGACCTAAGTGGCTGGTTGGTTGATGCAAAAACGTCAGAAAACCATTTCATTGTTGTGGAAAATCACCCTTCAATCATATGCTAGTAGGCCAACCCCATGACTACTTTATCACGTCAAGGAGTTTCCCTTGTCAAAGCTGTCTACAAACGTCTGTGGCAGCGCACAACCTGCATCATGTCCAAAAACCTACTGTACCACATAAAACTCGCCCTGGTACTTGGCAATGGCTCTATAACTGAACAGGCCATCATCCATACCAAATTGCAGCCAACGTTCTCAGCAACTTTGCTCACAACAACCTGAAGTGTATATGTGATGCGATTTGTATTGCAACCGCACAAATCTTGGCTGACGTTGGAAGGGGAGCAAAAACTCAAATTTTAGCGGTTCAGTGGGGGTTTCCCACTAAACCACAATAAGCAAAAATGCAAAATGTGTCCCAAGAACCATGAAATTCCCTGTGGTCCAGCCTGCTCTCGCTGGTGGTCGCCCTGGATCGCAACCTGCAAGGGCGATCCCCGGCTGGGGTGCGGTTGGGCTGTGATGGGGAAGGATTCTTGGGCATCTTTGTTTCACGTTAGGTTTTTCCGGACTGTCCCATCATGGACATTGCAAAAACAAAAACCTTTGCATGTGTAAATTGGAGCCGGGTGGCAAAAATTGCGGAGGGTCCGGAAAAGTTGGAACAAATTACCCTCCCACCGACTAACATTGAACCCACCAAAGGGTCCTTTTAGAACAAAGTGGGTTTCCAGCTACCTCCGGTCAGGTTCCATGTTCTGGGTACTCGCTGGAAGGGTACCTGTCGCCTTCTCCGGACACTAACAAACATGGGTTCAACTGAGCCCCCCAAGCTGACAAACCCGGCACCCTCGCCTGGTTCGTCCTCACGACCCGCCTGAGAAAATGCTCTGGGGCGCCCAAACCAGATCCAACCAGCACACGTGGATTTGCATTGGGTGTTTCAGCATGTTGAAACACAGCTGACATGCTAGCGCGGCGGTTTGATTGTTTGCGCAAATGACCAAATGATGTTGTAGTTGAGTGAGCCTGGGGATGGTGCAAACATCAAAGGTTCTGCTAGCTAAGAGTCAGCGTATTGAAAACGTGTCGACTCTACGTACCAAAAAGACTCAAACGACCGGACCCCCAACAGGGCAATATTCACAGATTACTTTGTGATCAACAATACCCTTGGTTGGGGCAGCATCTTCAAAGCAGAAATCATGATCTATCAATCATTGCGTTGTTACTATGTAGTGCGAAATCGACCACAACCAGTCCTCGCGGCTCATGCCGCACATTTAGTCTTCGCGTCGGGCGACTCAACGGGAGACATACCCCTGCTTTCGGGTCATGTCCAGCAAACGCATCGCTGACATCCAATGAGGTCCAAAAGTGCATCCCATCCTAATCTGTTTCCAACATGTTACAAAGGACCTGGCCCATGCTCCAAGCGGAAGCCCGAACAACTAATTTTCAAGCACCTGCAACTCTTTGCTAACTTCAAACATCCGGCGCCTGTTCGCCGCCTGCTCCTCCAGCAACTCCTTCTTGCCTCAACCCGAGCATCTCCGGCGCGGGTCCACATTTCAAGGCCGAGAAGGACTCAAGTGGGGGACCAGAATTGCGTTGGAGGTTGCTGTGCTCCGGTCTTTTCACGCAACCTCTCGAATATGAGTTGGCTACTTGTGTATGCATGAGCTGGTTTGAAGGGCAACAAGTCAAAAAGGGTGGACCAAGGAGAGGACAACACGACGATGCATTGGGACGAGAATGGACAGGAGGACCATGGCAAAACGAGACACGACAACAAGAGCCATGAACTGATAACCAATTTGTGGCAGAAAGGCAATGGACAACGACGCGACGCCGGGGTGAAATTCGTCCAAACGCAAGTCCAAGCCACCGCACCAACCGAGTCCTTCAAATGGTGCTGGGGATGTCTACCATTTGAAGGTGATATCCTCTTCGCGAAGCTGCGCGTGCCCAAAATGAGGCGGGGCTTGCCTCTGCAGGCAATGAAATCCGCATGAGCCCCCTATCTATCCAAACGAGACAGAATCGCGGCACCACACAACTATCAACCTAAGGTTGACAGGACTTCGGGAAATATCTTCAGCAACATGTTGGCCTGAGCTCTGCGCATCTGTCCGCCTCTTCCTTGCGAGCCGCCAACTCATTATTCAGCGCCTGGCACAGCAGGCACTTCGCGTGCGTAGTGCGCTTTGCGAAGGGTTCCGTGTCACCGGTGACGTGCTTCGTTGCTGTCCCCAACTACGCATCGTAGGAAATAATGCGAAGGCTCACCAGACCCCAACCAGCCTTGGTTGGCATTCGTCCCATATGGGACTGATCATTGTAGCACCGGAAAGAAAAATACATCATTTCAACCACCCATGCGGTCTCCTCACCAGCCCACCAGGGAAAAATCAACATAACAGTGGAAAACAACACGACTAGAGTGAAGGGTACAGCCAAACCATACACCACGTTGTTTGTCAACCAGTTTGTGGTCAGTGTGTGCTGGTAGCATATTATATATATATACACCTGTTGTAGGCTGTGATTCCTGGACAACATAACATAACATTGTTCAACATGGGTTTGTCTCTAACTGGGGAACCGACAAATAATTATGTTTGGTTTCCCAAAGGTTTCCTTGGATCTACACCGGAAAGGGACAATACGACCCCACATCCCCAACTGGGGAACCCCTGGACAACTTGTTTCCTGTCATTTCCGCTTTCACCACCCTCAACAAAAAAAACACCCCTTGTCCTGTTGATTCTCTTTGATGTCCCCCAAAAAGACACACGCCCCTCCGACAGCCAAGCGCCTTGCGCGATATGCCCTGCCTTCAGCTTCTCTTGGAGCCGCTCAACCAGCTCCCGGCCTCGAATCCAAGTCTCATGGGGTTCTCTCCAAGTGCGGCCCTCCCTTTCACATCCAACAAAAAAGGGCACCCTCATGAAAGAAATGGTTGGGACCTCTAAGCGGACACCATCTATGTGGGGGGCTGTGGTCCACCAACCATTTGGGAGGGTATTCCCAATGCAAAGCCATGTAACCAGAAAGGCGGATGGCTGAGCATCATCCAAGCCACAAAATTTCACACACTGGTGTCATGCTCCTGAGGTGTTGCTTCTGCACTCCAAAAGCTTCGAAAGGCATTGACTCATTGACTGCTGTCAAGAAAGCATCAAGCCCAGAAATTCGGGGCAGTTTTCCGAAACTCTGAGCATGTCAATCTGTCTGCCTGGGCTCCCCCGGCGCCGCTCCCGCCGCGATTGCAGCTGCCGGATGTGCTCTTTGCAGCTGGTGATGTCCAGACCTCGGTTGCACACCCCATGTGCCCCGCAACCCGGCAATCCTCTCCCCTGTGCGCAACATCACGCACAAGGTTCTTGAGGAAGTCAAGAAAGTCAAAGGTGACCTGTTTCGGATCTACTATTGATATGTCAATGTTTGATTTGACACTGGGCTTTGCCACCCCACTCGGCTGGGACGCAAAATAACATTTCGGGGCATGATCCCGATTGTATTCTTCCCATTGTTCTCTCTGAGGAGTGGTCTTTCAATTCAAGAACGCGCGAAGCGTTGGACAACAGTCTGCAGCGTTGGACATTGTCAAAACTCTGTGTAGGGAGGCTGTCCAAGTTTGTTTGAACTGCTGTTCGCCAGCTCATGAAGCAGAAACGGCCGTTGGTCCTTCTTTGGTTTCAGCCAAAACTCAGCCCACCTGATCTGCACATGCCATACTGCCCATAAGCTCCCGCAGCACAATCAGTCAGTATCACGAGTAATAACACGAACGAGGATAACAAAACCAATGCTGAGCAACAGTTGCAACAAACGAACGTTGGCAGCGATTTGAGCTCTGGGCTGTGCAAGCCCTCCAGTAAGTCATTGGAATCTTCCTCGGCCAGGGCATGTTGACGCGGGCAACATGGGCAACAAGTCAGGAGGTGAGGTTCAACCAACCCGCATTGTAGATTGCCTTAACATTCCGTCAGACTCAAAGGCGCAAAGCTCCTGCTGCCCCCATTCTGCTTCCAGCATAGTCGCACAAAAAGTCATAGAATATAGAATCCGCAAACTATGCCTGATGTGAAAGAAACAGCCATAATTTCGCACTTGGCCAGCCAACTGTTTGATCAAACACAGCTCATGTCAATCAAGTCTGGCGATCGGCAACAGTCAAAAGTTTGCCGCCCAAGTAGAATTGGCTGAAATGCGCTAAACACGTGATGCATGCAAACAAAAGGTGTTTGTCCGTCTGGCGTTGCTTCACCCCCGAACTACGTTGATCTCTTGAATGCTAAGCAGTAGAACTCGAAAGGTACACAGCAAACAAGAATTGAGAAGCCGGATACGGGTTGAGACCGACATCAGCAATTTGGACAACAACTGCAAACATCATGACACTGCAGACCAGTTTCTCTACTTGACATGTCCAGCTGCAAAGATGTAGTATTGTCAGCGCGTGCGTCAAATTCCCAGTATGTGGATCATGCAAGTGTGTGCGTCCGTGTTTTCACAACATCGCTTTCAATCAAATCATCTGGCCAAACTATGATGAGTGAGCTCGTTTTACCCCCCAGGTGAGCTCCCCAAGAAGTTGCCCAGAATCGCGACATACACACAATGGCGGACACACGGGTGTCAAACTAGGGACCTCTAACTTGGTGGCTCTCCTTTTGGGTGTCCCTTGTCACCAAGGTGCAAACCCCAAAAAAGACCCAAACATTCACCATATTCACCACTCCCGATACCGAAGCCAGCCATGTCCAGCTCCGTGGCCCCGGCAAGCCATTCGCTCATGGCTACATCCCTCCGGGTGATACAAAGCAGCTGGAGCCAAAAACGGCAAATACAAATTTGGACGTTTCCTACGTGGATGTCTTCTCCTTCCCCTTTAAAACCAGTCCAAAGGATCAGAAGGGATCCGTTGCTTTTGGACGCAACCACCTTACGTCTGTGAATCCTGATCGCGTAGCTTGGACCTCCAAACTGCTCAAGCAACGACTAGTGCATTCACCAACAATATTTTGGTTCGCGGCTAGTGATGATTCTGGCTGGCCATGCAAATGTTTCACAACAAACCATGGCCGGGCTGTCCAACAAATCCAAACATGCATTGGCGCAAGATGCATGTAAGTCCTCTTGCGGTGATAAATTCCGGGTCCGATGTGCAAACAGCTGGCGGTTTTGACCTTAAAACAAAACACGACTCCTAAACCCAAATTCCAGTTCCCAAATCGCGAACTGGAGCAAGAGCCGAATTGGAGCATGCGCAGTCCGTCATTTCTATGAATCAAAAGGTGTTCATCAATCTTGTGCTTTCCCTTTTCTTCATTGCCCAATTTAGATTGGTTCATCCCCTAAAAAGTCGTTGCCTTTTGAGGCTGTCGTAAAAACTGTTCAAACTCATTTATTCTTGGCAAATAAGAATGGTAAACGTTGAAATCCTTGGCTGCTTTGCAATTGCCGATTTTCACTGCACGGGAGCCGATGATCGACGCATCACTGCTTTGGCAGGGGCTACGCCGACCACTGGCATAAAGCTGTCCTGCCTGCTAATTAAGGTATGTGGCAAAGTGGGCAGAACGTCAATGGGTTTGGCGGTTTGGTCCACAAATGCATCAGCATTGCAACGTGCGACGGATTGAAACAGAAGGGTGTGTGAAGGGTTTGTGCTGGTGGAAGTGCGCAGTTGAAAGCCATGGGGGTGTGTCAGGGTGTACGGATATTTACATGCGTATGCTGTATGCCTGTTCCTTGCTGTTTCAATGTTGCACACGGCCACCTTGCCTGATGGGACCACCCTACCAAATGCTAGTGAAAAAGGCCAAACCAAGCTACAGCACCAGCTAGAGTTGCATTCAGGACGAAATGACAACATCACGCAGTCGTGTGCACTTCGGCAATCTAGTTTCATAGACATCTTGTTCTTTCAGTTTTGCACAGACACCTCGCTGAAAACTCATTGAAACACCCGGCCAACATCAGCTTCTACAGTGCGGCAAACAAACATCAAAGCGAGGTGATGTGCGTGTGTGTGTGTGTGTGTCTGTAAGTGTCGACAAGTCAATTTGATTTTCACCCCTCTCCAACACCGAATGACTGATCCGCCCACATCGCCATCCAATAAGCTCCCCAATCGCCCAGGTCAACACCCCTGGCGCATGCAGGGGCACCCAGGAGAGGGGTTTTTCCATCCCATGAGCACAGGCACAGAAGTGTCCGCATGTCCTTTTGGCACAACTCTCAAACCTATCGAAGTCATAGGTCACTATTTTGCCCAGAGAGATCGGAGATATGTGATGAACAAGTCATTCAAACAATGAAACAACAATCGAGGCATGCACAATCCCGGCGCATCTTAGGCGCCTTTCGCTGCGTTCCAAGGACACCTGCCAGGCTGAAAGCCCTGGGGCTTTTCGGGCATTTTGTAAATGACGGAGAAAAAATTCCCACGGTCTGACAGATTGGTCCCATCCGGGAAGCCGCCAAAAAATGTCAAGACTCCAAGCACAGGAACAAGCCCATGACAATGTTTTGGGACAGACCGCCACAAAAATGAGCGAAAAAACCTGCCACCGACGTGAATTACTTGCTCGACGCGATTGGTTGGTTTCACCAACTTGCCACGGAATCCTCGTCCGTGAAGCGCTTGGAAGGCCTCCGAGCGGGTCTAATCAAACACAACGTGGTCCTCATGAGGCACCAGTGTCGGCCATTCCTTTAAAAGCTGAAGCCTGGCTGGCGCTTTGTGGTTGAAAACAACTTCTTAGATCCGGCTCGCCTCTTGCCGTGCGGCAAAGCGGGTTTGCTTTCTTCGCGGGGCAGTGTTTATTCACCCCTGTGTACAAAAAACTAGACCGAAACAACAAAAACCTAACACCAAACATGGGCAAAAACGGAAACCAACACAAATGCCACCAAGGAACGGTAAGTCTGAACCGTCCCCGGCTGCGCCCCTTCCAGGTTCCCCGGCTCTGCTTTGGGCCGAAACCGGAGGTAGAGGCTGCTGAAGGGCCTGGCACCGAATTTGCGAGCCAAGCAACAAATTCGCGCCAGCTTCTTGCTGGTCAACTCCGATTTGCTCAATGTTGGCCACTTTGGTCACGTCAAGTTCACAGTCAATCTTGCATTTCACGAATCAAAACGTAAAATCAAACAACAAATGTACAATGCGAATCCCTGATCAAGTGGTGAGAAGAACAATTGGCAAATAAGTATATGTGCGTGTGTCAACTTGTGGCAATTGAGAAACACACACGTCCATAAAACAAATTTCATGGGTCACTGCAAGGCCCCAACAATGATGGTATCGTTCGTGCCTGCCAATTTGGCAATCCCTTTGTCAGTCCGTGTGGGTCAGACGCATGGCGAACGGCTCAGTTGAATTCCCGTGTTTCCGAAATATTGGCCGGCCCTGCCAAGCCACGCCCCAACCTGAGCGGCAATCGCAGCGTCGGTTGTTTAATTCTTGTTTGGTATGAGTATTTGTCCTTATGCTTGAACATTCATTGGCAACAAACAAACAGGTCAGCTACTTGCCTACATGCAGGGGCGGAAAACGTGTCGAAAACTTCACTCAACAACCTCGCGGTATTGTGATTTTGATGTTGGATGCACTATGATTTATTCTCCATGGGGAATCGCAAGTAAGACTGATGATTATTAGCGTGGCAAGCTACAACATTGCCGGAATCATACAACAAAAACAACTTAACACACACTCACACACACACACAACGTGTGCAACGCATGATCTTACCCCAAACGACATTCTGCACACAGTGGGCAACTGACGCCGCGCTTACGCGTTTGTGAATGACGATTAATAGATGTTTTATCTCAATAGAACAAATTACATTGATTGTTGGGATCAAGTCAATTGCAAGCGACTCTGGCTAGTTGATTGGTTAACGGAAACGCAAATTGACGGGTTGAATTCTGACTGTGATTCACTGGGCAAATGGTTGGGCAATTAGCTGAACATGTGGCTGTCAGGCTGGTTGGTTGACTGAATGAATTTTCCTTTTGTCGAACTGTTCAGGCTGAGGCGGTTTTCTTGATTTTCATTGCATGTTGATCATGACGTCTCAACATCTGTCAAGTGTTGTTTTTTGTCCCGCCCTACCCCCCCCCCCCCCTCGGAAGGAGGCTGCCCCCCACATCCTCAGACCCAAGTCAAGTCCTGCCACTAGGCGACCCCAGCGCACCCAGTCGTACTCCTGTCCAACGCAAAGACTGACCACAACCGCAACCCCACACGCACACACGCCAAGACGCCAGCACCTCAACATGTAACATACACACACACACACGCACAGCAACATTCGCACCGCCACTGAGTCAGAGTTGCCAACTGAGCATTCATTGTTGAACGAGGCCTATCTAGTCCATTCCGCAATCAGGTGCGCTGGCAATACAGTCAGCCACAACACACGGCCGTCTTTCTCAGTCTCCTTCCACCTGTACTGCTTCGGATCAAAGCCAGCGGCAATGCGAACACGGTGGTACCTGAGCCAGGCTCGAACAACACACGCCCAACCCCAAAGAACCTTCCGAAACACAACTAACACCCCACACGCGAAAAAAACACAGAATAACAACAATTACGACAACAAACGCCATTTCAAAACAAGATGGGCTGCCCAAGAGGAAGCGCCTGCAGCCTACAACGCCCAAGTTGCTAGCGCCAAAACGAAAACCGAAAAACGCCTTTGCTCACATAACAAGCGCGCCCAGGATTTCGAATAAGATTGCCTTGGTTGCACGCGAGATTTTTTCGGGCGCAGCAAGTTGTTCGTTTCCCGTTTGCAATAGGATTGAAACCAGCTCACCAACTCCTAGCCTGGAACGCTACAACGGCATAACAACAAGAAGAAGAGCAATAAGAGCAACAGCAACCACCACCACCACCACCACCAACAACCAACCAACCAACCAACCAACCAACCAACCAACCAACCAACCAACCAACCAACCAACCAACCAACCAACCAACCAACCAACCAACCAACCAACCAACCAACCAACCAACCAACCAACCAACCAACCAACCAACCAACCAACCAACCAACCAACCAACCAACCAACCAACCAACCAACCAACCAACCAACAACAACAACAACCAACAACAACAACAACAACAACAACAACAACAACAACAACAACAACAACAACAACAACAACAACAACAACAACAACAACAACAACAACCAACAACCAACAACCAACAACCAACAACCAACAACCAACAACCAACAACCAACAACCAACAACCAACAACCAACAACCAACAACCAACAACCAACAACCAACAACCAACAACCACAACCACAACCACAACCACAACAACAACAACAACAACAACAACAACAACAACAACAGCAGCAGCAGCAGCAGCAGCAGCAACAGCAACAGCAACAGCAACAGCAACAGCAACAGCAGCAGCAACAACACACCAACAAACAAACACACAAACAAACAAGCAACCAACCACACAAGCAAACAAGCAAACAGGCAAACAAGCAAACAAGCAAACAAGCAAACAAGCAAACAAGCAAACAAGCAACAACAGCAGCAACAGAGACGACCGACAACAACGTACAACGACCAAGAACAGCCAACAACGACAAACAACCACTAGCAACGACCAACAGTGGCCAACAACAGCGGCCAGCAACGACCAACCGCAGCCAAAGACAACGATAACGGCAACGACGGCAACACAGACTACGGCTACCTATCACAGAAACGTACAGCATCACAAGAACCACACAACCACACCAACCGCCAATTCCAAAAGCTAGCAATCCCAACGCACTGCCAACGCCAAAGCGATAAAATCACACCCCCGTCAAAGCACTAACAACTCTTGCCTGGCATTATCGAAAGCTCGGTGGCTGGAGCTGAACCAACACTCTCCGCACATGACCGTTTTCTATGACAGCACCTGGTCAAGCTGGTTGATGGTTTTTGTTCGAAGTTTGCTCCCCTGCTTGCCGGATGAGTTCCTGCCTGTTGTAGGTAAACACTCCGGCAGAAGAGTTTGCCGACCCAGCGCGGTTCCACACCCCACGGAACCACATCTCACCCCACCGCTTGGCACATCGCTCGCCCCGCAACAACCACATCTCACCCCACAACCAAATCTTACTGGCACGCCACATGAAAAATGCGTGTATGTTGCAACTGCCTTGTCCAGCGCGTTCGCGCCTATGTGTTTTCACATTAGCCTCTGCGTGTGTGAGCCTGGCTGCGAGCTTAAAAAACGCCCGAATCGTGTCCACAAGCGCTTGGCACCTCACACTTCACCAAGATGCGCTGCAATGTTGCTAAGTTCTTTGTTCAAAGCCACCCCTATGCGTTATAAGCAACAACCTTCCAACAAACTGCTGACAACCAACGCGCTCAACAAGCACTTGGCGCACCGCGTTTCTCATGCGCTTCAACCAAAGTCATTTGCTCATGGCCACCCCTATGCGTTACGAGCAACAACCTTCCAACAAACAGCTGACAACCAACGCGCTCAACAAGCACTTCCCCCCTGGCACACCGCGTTTCACCCGCGCTTCAACCAACGTCACCCACGTGTGCCTCCAGCGGCCCGGGGCTGGTTTGCTCCTATGTGCTCTCACAGTGACTTCTACCTGTCTGAGCCAGGTTGCGAGCTGAGCAACTGTTCGAACCGTGTCCACAAACGCTTGGCGCCGCTTCACCAACATGCGCTGCAATGTTGCTAAGTTCTTTGTTCATAGCCACCCCTATGCGTTATAAGCAACAATCTTCCAATAAACAGCTGACAACCAATGCGCTCAACAAGTGCTTCCCCCATGGTTCGTTCTTCTTTCTTTCTCTTGCTGCTTCCTCTTTCCCTTACTCTTTATTTCTCTTTCCCTTGCGTTGTGTCTTTCCTTTTCCCTTTCTCTTTCTCTGTTACGCCCCTGTCACGAAATCTGCTTCTGAAAGCTCCGCGCCTGCCACAAGACCTGCGCCTGGCCTCTGGAAGCACTGCGCCTGTCACGAAATCCGCGCCTGACCTTGCGAAAGTGTTGCAACTGCCACGAAACCTATCGAAGAAGGTGCTCCAAGCCAGCCAATTTAACAAGGTCTAAACGAGGTATTAACGAGGTCAAAGCGAGGTGCGAACGCGGTCCACTGACTGGCCCTGGCCAACACGGCCTGTTCGGACACAATCCTTGATTGGCGTGTTGGGGCCTGCGCATCTGCATGTGTGAGAGAAAAGCACAGCACAACGAACCCAACTCCCATGTGTTAGTAGGGGCAGTGCGCACTGCGCTTCCCGACAAGCAACTTCAAAGCCTGTAACTTCTACCAAGTGAAATCCCACTGGCACACAGCTGAACGACACAAGAAATCAAACTCCCATGTGTTAGCCGGCTTAACCTTCTCAGTATCTTGGCCAGAGGCAGTGCGCCATTGTGTTTTGTGACGGGAGTTGGCCTCAACATTCAACAGCGTGTGATAGCACGTGCGTCGTCAGCAACATCTGAGTGAAACGAGTGTGCCCATGAGATTTGTTTCAAAGTGGCCTCATGCCATACATCTATAAATGACAGCATGATCATGACTCTTACTGGCTTTCCCCACTGGCACACCGCTTGCGGCATGAGTTCATGTCTTGCGGGGCGTGTAACAACAAGGACACAGTAGTGTCAGGTTGCTTGGTGGGCCTGCAAACACCATGTGCCATGTTCGACTCCGGTTCCAGCACCTTCCCATCAAACCAATTTTATCTCTCCCGGCTTGCAGTTTGTGGAACAGGAGTCCTTGCAAATGTCACGCTCGTGCAAACCACAAAAGTGCACCGGGGGCCAGGCTCCTGCATCATTACCGCAATCCAAGTGTTGAGAATAAAGAGCCTGGAGCTCAGTGAGAGTTCTGACTGTCTGACTCGGGACACCCGTTCCCATATTGCAAGCCCAAATTGCGGAGGGGATCGCAACTTTGACGCAGCGCATACAGTCGGGTTGTTCATTTGACATCCGAAATGCTTGCTTGACCCATCATAGACCTAACTAGCAATGCACCAAGACCTGTCACAGTTGGCAACTGGGGGAGTCAGCAATAGGCGCCATTGACAGCCCCCTCTCAACAACATAGGACCATCTTGGCCCCCAATAGCTGGTCGGCGAATGTCTTGAAAGAATGGATTTTGCTCGGGAAACATACTTGGTAACCCTTGAGCGCTACCCTGTCCTGAAAGAGGCGGACAGCACCACGCTGTACAGCAACCTCAAGAGGTGCTACAAAGGCTTTCACTCTGGCCAACTTGAAGAAAAGAGAAACACACTGCGCAAGCCCAGTTCATGCCTTGCCATTATAGGCGTGATCAAAGATACTGAGACACACTCCTTCACATGATGCGTTCATTGCCGCTTGCCAAAACAACCCAGAGGGCATCCTCCGTTTGATTCGGCCAGACATCATACCCATCCAAATGTTTCCATCATGTGAGCCAACTACCCCGAAGATCGAATGACCTCCTGGTGTTGTCCAACCTCTTCCCGATTCCTCTTGTTGCTTTGCATGCTTTGCTGAATGAAGGCCTAAAGGCAGCCTCGGCACAGGATTGCACAATTCTGTATTCCATGTGGGTTGGTGGGCGCAGTGGACCAAAGAGAGTTTAGGCTCGACCCACCAAAGACCAAAGGCACCTCTATACAAGGGAGGCCGACATGGCTTGTTTGGCGAAGCCTGCTCACCTTGTCTCAGAGACTTCTTGTCTACTGAGCCGGCTGCCGGCTGAATAATTCTCACTTGGAAAGAGTCGTCAGGAACGAAAGCTAGAGAACACAACTTGGTGAGAAAAGGCGCAGCTCCCTTGCCAGGTGTGACATGGTCCTACTGCTCTTCAAGCCAACTTTGTCATGAAAACCCTCCGGACCATCTCAAGCTTCCCATCAGTAAAGTTTCCCCTACGGTGTTTCAAAGGTGTACTGACACTGCATGTGCCGAAATCGTTGCTTTCTCTGCCGAGAAGGGTGGTTTGCGACCATCTGAAGTATGTTTTTTCCCCACGCCCGAAAAGCCCACCGGAGCTCACTAGGTGTCAAACGTGAGCTGAGGTGCAGCTACTGAAGCGCACCACAGCCAATTCCCCGGCCTGAGAGCCTGGGCTCCCCCACTCCGCGGGCCGATCCGGGTGAAGAGCAGCCACTGTCCTCTCTGGCGTGCTTTGCTCGCCCGGGTCATGTCCATCCGGCGCCATCCGGCCATCCGTTCATACCTTTGGTCTTGTAATTGCTGGCCACCACGCCTCCAAGCGCAACATGTGCGACCAAATCACCCAGCAACCCTCTCCGACCAATCACCTCAAGACCTTCACCCCAAAGTCTCATGACACCTAAGGGGGAAGAATCCAGGAGGGCTATTGCCAAACATCGAGGAAAGTGGGCTCATTATCAAACATCAAGGAAAGCGGGCTGTCCTATCGTCTCCTGCCAGCAGCATCACCACCCGCGTGGTGATCAAGCCAATGGTCCTAGATAATCCGTGGCAAGATGAGCACCCTGGTAAGAAACAGCACAGGTTACCGGCCATGATCACACTGAGCTCAGCAGCTCAGGAATCAATGAGAGCCAGTACTATGCTTTTATTCTGAATCTGCGGCCAAGCTCTGGTGCTTTTCAGACGTGAAACATCGCGACCAAAGCCAATGTCCAAATAGCCAGTATACATTGCGAACCTGAAATTAGGCCCCAAGAAAACAATTGTGGTGCGGGGTGCCTTGCACAGGGGCAGCAATGCCTTACCCCTCTCCTTGTGTAGGGACTGTCGCGAGAGTCCACGGCCATGCCCACGACCACAAAGCCCAGCAAAGAGAGCAGCACCAAAGGCACCAAGCTGGCGGAGATATCCGGAGACCAAGGCTCGCATGAAGACGGACCACCAAAAGGTGAGAGCTGGTCCAAACAGGAAACCTGCCTAAAGGATCATGCAATCAGCACAAATAAAAGCGGCCCTTCTCAAAAGAACTCCTCGGTCTTGGATCTTCCCAAGTGTCCCCCAAGCCTCCAGCGTCCATGCGAAAGAAAACAAGGCGGTGATCACTTGACTAAGGGTTTCAAGGGATCACTTCTTTCTTTCCCAAAAAAAGAAAAGAAAGAGCAGCACTAGAAGCCTGCGGAGTCCCAGACCAGCGCGCCTACTGGCCACGCTGGCGGCGCGCTCCACGGCGCTCCAGACCACGAAGACCTCCCCCGAAAAGACGGCCGGATGCCGACAGCCGTGTCTTTCAATGGCCGAGGTCTTCCCAAGCCTGGCTTCATGGAACCAATAAGCTGGCGGCTGCCCTGGGAATGGGGAAAGCCGCACGAACTGTCTGCTCGCATGCATGACAAAGCGGAAAGAATGGACGGCTTGGAATTCTGTTCTGCAACCCCAAGCTGCAAACTTGAAGGTGTGCAAGGTTTGACAAGGGAACTTGATGCTTCTCCGGTAAAGCACCACACAAAATGCGAGAAACCGAATGCCACGGCTGCTT